TGATCGGCTTGCACCTCGATCCCACATTCACGGATCACGTTGAGATATTTACCTGCAAGTAAAAACTTGTGTTTCCAACCCTCTAGAAGGGGCGGTATACAGGCGCCACCGGGTAATCGTCCTCCAACAGTACGTGGCGGTGGAACACCTGTATGCTGGCGCTTCGAAGAAAGGGTAGAACCATCGCGAAGCTACCCAGACATCAGTACACATGCACCCCGTTCTCTCAGACACAAAGCTCACCGTATATCGCCTCTCCCAATACTCGTCCGTATAGTCCACTTCCAAAATGCCCTTACTGATGAACTTGCTCTCCTTGACACACAGTTCCTCGTATGGGTCCTCGAGACGACCCGTAGTTGTCCATACCCTGAGCATCTCGACATAGGGCACCCCCGCTGCAGTTAGAAGAGTGCCGTATACCTTGACTGCGGTGGGATCGCCTGACATGGTCTGCATGCGCTCGTATATCACCGTTAGCACTTCACCACCCTTCACATTGATAGGTGCGTCTGATGTGCTCTTCTTCATGTCAGACAGAACGGCCTTCAGCTTCGCCCCGCCGAGCCCAAGTGCTTCATCTCGTGCTGCCTGCTCTGGATCAGACTCAGAAGAAGACGATGATGAAGAGGCATCGTCGTCATCGGTAGTAGCGAGTTCAATGATGAGCTGATAAATAAGAGATAGGGTATGCACTGTTGGGTGAACATAGAACCATAATTTCTGTAGACTAAATTGCGGTGAGGTGTTGAATGCATGTTCGAGTTGAGATAACAGAGTTTGGTAGTCCTTTCAAGGGGTAAGTAAGACGACGCCTAAGCCATGAGGGAAATTGACCTTGAGCATGTCCCGAATGGCAGCGCAGAGCGCATGATTGACAAGCCCAAAATCGAGGTGGCTGCGGCTCTCAACAAAAGAGGAGATAGCGGTGTAGTAAGTGCCGAGCGGTACTATCCGTTCCGTTAGGTCTCGAAGGGACGAATCTATAAAAGATGAGCGAGAACATTTTCTCTGACCTGTCAGACAGACCTAGCGGGGAGGACAAAACAAAAAGTATTCCCTTGAGTGGGTCATCATCTTCTGGCGAGTATTCAGGATGGTGGGAAATATATGTCCCCTCGATACCCTATAGAAATGAGATTCAGGTGAGGACGAGGTGAAGCACAGGGCAGAAGCACGAGAACCAAGAAGAAACAAATTTCTCGACAGAAATAATGAGGTAAAGCGGGAATGCTAATTGTATAGTCATTGTTGTAATTGTAAGTTGAATGTGAACTGAAACGAAGGAAGGGGAGAGGTCAAAATATGAGATAAATAGCAGACCAAACGTGGTGATCGAACATTTGACACAAGCAAGATCATAGGTTGTTCCAGCTGACACTGAAAAAACCATACACCTCGAACATAACGACCACTCGCGAAGACATACCATCAAGACATAAAGAAGATCCTCCAAAATCAAAGCTTCTTGTATATCCACGGGAAGATTGTCCAATACATCTTCCTTTCCCTTTCCCTTCGTCTTAGGTATCGAAGCAGATGCGCCAACTCGCGAGTTCAATGGTGCGCGCACGAACGAAGTTTCGGCGATGAATGACGGCTCGTGGCCTGCATGCCATCAATACTGTAATATGCAGGTCATCGAGGATCACGTACTTTTGCTACGGTTTTCTCGTGATGAGTGCACGCGAACATCCGGATCTTCATAGATATCGTCGCTCAGTTGTCTGTTTCTGCGAACAGAAGCGATAGTGCCGGTGATCTGAATGGTCGATTGTCTGCATGTCATAATAAGTATACAAGGAGACTCGTACCTTGGTGTACTCTTTTGCAGATAAACCAAGATTCTTCTTACGACCTCCAGGACGCGTTCGTGGAGTGTAAGGGTCCATGTTATTGGACGACTATGCAGATTGGCAATGGACGCGGTAGATGCACAAGACGCGTAAATGATAGAGTTGGATTACTATTTTTGGTAGTCACGATTTTCTACTTCATCCTCGGAGTTCAAACCGGGTCTGTCTAGATTTCTGTTGGCAGCAATATTGAAGGACCTCAACGTTTTCAACCATGAGGGATGCCAACATCTTTGCATTCCGCAAGGCCATGCCTCGAATGGTCAGTTCCGTAGCTCTTCTTTTCACCTCCAACCTAAACACACAAAATATTACCAACAGAGCTGGTCTCCGCGTAACCTCTACAACCTTTGGAGGCGGTCTTGTGGAGCCGAGGCTGAGGCCATAAACTTTACTCGCTCACCCAAGACGTTGTTCCAACAGCGGTGGATATCGAAAGCACTCGTACGTGCGTACCACGGCGACTTCATTAACGAGAAAATATTCAAGCGGTGGTACCTCCCCGACACACTTCCCGACGTGCGGCCTCGTCAACACGCGCTTTCTAGTAATGGGGATCTCGACGCATTCGCTGGGCGTACCGAACAACTGGAGAGAGCAAAAAAGAGAGCATATGACGAGCAAAAGAAAGGCTTGGCTCCTGTGGGCAGTTTAATGCTTGCCGAGGTGGAGCGACGCATTGATGTGTTCATCTTTCGATGCTGCTTTGCGCATAGTGTGTATGAGGCACGGAGACTTGTCATTCATGGATCCGTCCTTCTCAATGGCAAGAAGGTGCGCTAGTTTTCTTCTCTGGTATCAGCTTCGATACACTAATCCACCTCTTCAGCATACGGATGCCAATACACGTCTAGCCCCAGGTGACATGATCTCCGTTGACCCTGCAGCCATTCGTTTTCTCCAAAATCCTGAGTCTTCCAAGGCAGAGTCCGAGGGTGAACAACCTTCAGACTCAGAACCTAAAATCGAGCCTTCGGATCTCTCCCAGTCCATGCCTTCCGCAAAACTTGCACCTACAAAGTCCTCATTGACGCCTTTCAACCTCCCTCCATATGCGTCTCCTTTCATCTTCATTCCTGCCTATGCAGAGGTCTCCTTCCCCACCTGCAGTGCTATATATGTGCGCCACCCGACGGCACGCCCAGGATACAGTGAAATTCCAACACCTTACGACGCTGATGGTGAAGTCATTCGGCTGGCATGGGAATGGTACTCAAAGATGCGTCCAAGGACAAGGAGTAAGAGTCAGATGGCGAGGGAACCAGAGAATCGTAGGGTTGGTGGTCACTAGGTGTCACTCGTTACCTCTACTTTGTGCGCATTTCGTGAATATCTTTGATGCTGATGTTGCTGAAGTACTACGCTATCCTCCACCTGTGTCTTGTGCGGTTCAATGTTTCCCTGCTTGTCACATTCCGTGGATGCCGCTGTCGACTGAAGAGCTCGTGCAACGGTTGCGCAAGCTTTCTGTTGATACCCTATGAGGGTTCATTTGCAGCCTTCTCTCACTGGCCGTTCCACGTTGAATATGCGCGCGCTAAGTTGTACAATGGCCTGGTCGTCCACATTCGCACGCGCGCTTCGTGTCTGCAGGTTATTCTTCTCAGTGTCCTCAAATTTGAGTATGGCCCTTCGATCATTCACAGGTCATCTAAGGAAATCGTGTCTCCTGCCGATCAACGCAGGTTGATGCGCCGTGAGCAGAAGCAGTAAAAAAGCTCAGACATCCTTGGAACGTCAACAACAAGTGATCCATGCGTATCCCCAAGGAGACTGTTCTGTTGTGTCTCGATCACTATTACGAAGGGTCTACTTGGACGCAGCCTCCAGTGAGTGCTGGTTTTACACAGTATCAGCCCAATTGCCAGCTCGTCGTCGTTTCTTCTGATGAGTCGTCTGCTTTGAATCTGGGGTGGTTTGAGAGCCTTTATAGTGCGTGATTTATCTACTGAAAAATGTTAATACCATTGTAGCTGGAATTCCTGGATCTCAAGATCTTTGTCCGCAATGAAATATGGAGCTACTTCAGTTACTTTGGATTGCCACCTGTTTTCCACCTTCAATCCTAGTGCCGAGAATTGTATAAAGGATAGAAGAAAATCAATGAACGATGAATCGAGACAACGGGTGCCCTCACAAAAGGATGTTGTATCAGGGAATCGGTGTGCACACCGTCACCGATCTCACCGTTGTCTGAAATGGGTGATTATGAATAATGTCGCTTCGACATTCGTGCGCGTTGGCGACCCTATCAGATAAGCGCTCGGGAACGGGGCCATGGTCCTATGTAGGAAACGTCCATATCCACCCGGTGGACACGGGTTGACGTACGTGTGCTTTGATGATTGCTCTGCCTCTAGCATAGAAACATGTTATAGAACGAACTTTTGATCAGCTAGGCTCCCCTAAGCAAGGCCCAGGCCTTCAGGACAGGAAAGTATTGGTTTATTCTAGTAAAGCTGAGCGCTGATCACGATCACTGAAGATTTAAATAGCAGATTACCCGACCTGTTTCGCGATGTAATTACGATGTTCGACGGACATGCGATGCGCAACAGCCATGTGATGTACAGAGGCTGGTCAATCTGATAAGCCACCCCCATCTGCTGCGGAATCATAGGAGGACGCGGTGCTGAGACTTTGAGATCGAGCAACACCAGAAACAGAACATTGCATCCTGACTTACTGTTGCAGATAATCTTGTCTATTGCCGATGGGAACTTCGGGTTTGATACTCGTGACGGAGATGCATCGATGAGGACCGTCGGACGACATGAATGTTAATGTTATTTTCGATCAACTGGTACCGCATACAACCTTACTATGAATTGTCAATTTGTATCGCCATTTCGACACAGCATCAACCTAACAGTATCACAGCCATTTACGTAAAGGTGTCAATTCTGCTCTCTTCGCATCAACTTGCCGGTGCCGTCTCGACAGGCGTGAGTATACGCCTAATGTTCCTGGGCTGCTATCTCACTTTTACCTAAGACAGGACGATTGGTATAAGAGTACAAATACTACTGCCAGTCGTGGCTTCTCTGCTACTCCGCTCAATGGTATCTTCAGGCCTCATTAGATAGTACGAGACCTGCTCGTGCAAAGACATGAATCACTAATGTCAACTTGACTATGCACGACCTACCCATGCAAAGCGCTGAGAATCTCCTCCTTCCCCTTGTGAACCCAAGCCGTCGGTATTTTGTCCGAATCGTCCTTCGAATATTGCCCAACTTGAAGAAAATTGTTCTCTTTCGAGAACGCCCATATTGCCGGGTTTGGAGCCGGCGTCGTTGTAATAGCGTGAAGTTCCTTCCCTGGATGGAACAAGTGAGAAAAATACACCCCCGGACAATGAGACTCACGTATAATATTCTCCACTAAATATTTCATGTTCTACGTTCTTGAGTGAGCGAATGCATCCCCAGATGTAAAAAATAGACGCACCAAGTCATTCCTGTCATAGCCTATTAGATGGACGTCAATAAGATCGTATTGGTCATTCGGAATGGGACAACTTGCCAAACGGATCTAAGACCATGCGTTAAATGAATAAGCGCAACATCTTAGCTTTGTGACTTACTTTCAATTTCCTCCCCGGCCACAAGAAAACCATAGAAAACAAGACTCTTGGTGGTTAAATGAGATAAGACGACACAAGGAAGTGTGTGATGCGCCTTACAGCAATCACAGTCGCTGGAATGGTGAACCATTTAAGTGTGGTCCATAGCTGGAAGGGCTGTCACATAACAATGGTATCAACTAGCTGTGGGCGGGGAAAGACTCCAACATACCAAAGCTGCAATATAAAGCATTGTGATCGTCCATAGATGCAAAGAGTAACTAAGTAAAAAATCAGGGATCAAAGAGGCAACAAGCGTCTAACGGCCACGCACGAGAACGGAATAGGAGTGGCAAGGATCCTTTCTAACCCCGTCAGGGCATCCACGAGCTGATTAAGTGTCGCGCAAAGCACACCTGCGAGTATAATCACCAGTGACACAGAAAACGAGTCCGGCATAACACACCTATGGTCGGGTCACTCACGGTTTGACGGGTTTGCAGTGCAGCAATGTAGGATGTCTTTGGGGCTCAAAAATTAGACCTTGTTAACTTCTGTGCATGGTGAGATCCACGTACCAAGTACAGAGATATTTCCAGAGGGACATTATTTTTACTGGGGCGGAAATGTTGATGTGGGCCGTCTGCTCTGAGCTTACAGAAATGTTTCTTTACAATTCCCCATACCCAAAAGAAGACCGGAAATGGAAAAGCTGCTTGCCAGCGGCGCCTAGGAGGTAATTCGGCGGGTAGAAGAGACTCCGGATCATAATGAGGCGGTGCGATAGTTTTGGTGGTTTCTGTCCAGAATGATTTGTTATCAGATTTCGACAAAGACCCAGGCACTGGCATTTCTTGGGTTGGACCAACGGCTGCATCCCCAGAGAGCTCTGAAGTATCGCGATTCGGGTGATGTCTATGCCTGCTGCGTAACTGCCGAATTTGGTCATTTTTTAAAGGGATAACGGCAGGAAACGAGTAGTGGGATGAAGAGAGGAAGGGAACAAGCGGGTAAAGATCTTTATAGTAAATTCCTTCTTCCCCTCGCAGGTAGTGCTTGACGGCGACAGCATACGCCTCGAGTAAATTTATTACCGTCTTCTTCTCAATGAGGGTCATGGCGTATTCCTTCTGAGTCTTCGCTGAGTCCTGGTTGGTCATTTCGTCAGCAGTCGGACAATGATAGTCCTTTTGGGAAGCCGGAAAAGTGTTATCTGTAACGTTTGAGTGACCCTGGCGAAGAAGATGGGGGTTTGTGCACCTGGGATATGAAACCACACGGTCTGAGCAAAGATGCGGCAGTTTAACACGATATAAGACCAGAGTCTTGCACCCTCATTATAACGCTCGAAACTGGATGATGTCCGGAAAGATATTATGAAACCGAGAACGGTACCGAACCTGTGATGAAAACCTGTCAAAGATGGTTTCACCGGGACTGATGACCACCTACACAGTGATAAGAGTCGGCTGAATCGACAGTATTCCGTGCGTGTAATGGTTAATCACGCATATTGAAGACGACCAGATACCAGTGACAATCAATGCAGGCCAACATCTACTTAGGGCGGTACTCGAAAATGTGTCCCAGAAGATCGAAAGTGTTTTCCACCATGTGAGGGGCTTGTCACGGTCGATGGCTAGGGTGGGCTCGAATGAACCGAGGTTAGTCATCTCAGTCTTGGACTCAGACATTGGTGAACGGGAGATGAAAGATAGTCGGAAGGAGGTTTAAAAGCCTCGCAAAAGCCCTTAGCGAAGAAAGACGCGCGATTCTTTCATACGTGCTTGAGGAGGGCATATTGAAATCCCAACTGAAAAGCGCCCATATGAGTGGGCACTGGGCGGCGGCCCATCCTTCTTTTTGGTAAGTACTGTTATCACACGGATCTTACTCGTTTCCCTGAGCTCACAAAGTCCGAGTACTTGATGAATGCCTCCGAAGGTACTTCGGCTCCCGAAAACAAGGTAGTACGCCGCACAACTTTGCTTGTCCGAAGTCAAGTTTAATTGCCCCACCGCACCAAACTCCACCCGTCCGTCATTTTCGACGCTCTTGTCCTTCTGAGACGCGCTTTTAGCGCCCATTCCCGGCCGCTGTCCTCCGCCAAAGCCCGCCTTACTGCAACTCATTCTACATCATGTCACCCAGGTCCGACAACGCCGAACATGCTGTCATGCACTTATTCAAATAAGTTGATGCAAACCATATAGAGGGCAAGTTGTACTATCATTGGTACTTGTTGTCATCATCGTGTCGTCGAAAACACGACTCCGCGAGCCTGTGCCGGTACCGCCACCGCCATCCTCTTGCACACCTGCGAGCTCTCTCTTCGGATAAAAAATGGGCATTCTCCTCGCAACTACCAGTGTTGGACGACCTTTTCCGAGTCATGCTTGGGAACGGCAACTCGAACCTTCGACGAGTTATCCGTTTCGGAATCCTTCGCCAGAGTTGGTCAAGCTCGGAACATTGATGAGTTTGAAGCAACCAGGTAAAGTCCGACTAATCACAGGGTGCTACCATGAACCCGGTGGACAGAGGATCAAGATACATCATATGATGCAACTCCGCAGCGCTCAGCTTTCGTGTATCGTGCTTAATGTGATTGTGGCGTAATTATGATATGATGCCTCGTGCCACCGCACATGATGAACGTTCAGTACCTCAGGGACAGAGCTACCTACTTCAATCAAACTGAGTATGTATCCTATTTGTCATTTGTTCCCTAGAGGTCTCAGAATACACAATACAGAAATAGGGATTACGCCGTGATCAGGCATACAATGTTCGACATTGAGTGCTTTTATCGTCTTGTACTATCACAAGCATGAAATTCACATCCTGACAGATTCGATCTTATCGGTAACTCTTCCCTGCATGCTGAATACGTGTTGTGAGATCTCACATGTACATGGGACCTCAGTGCTCAGTGCTGGAAAAAAACTAATCGTGCAGGTACCAAGTCCGTCGCCCAGATATAATCTGGTCTGTCCTCAATGTTCTCTCTCTTAGCCTAACATTCTTATCCAGTTTTTCAACGATTACGGTCGTTAGCTAGCTGTCAGTCGCTTATCATCATGCTCGTCTCTCATGTGACCGCCAGTTTCAAATTGATTGATACTATGCTAAATCGGAACACCGAAAAATATCCCAAATCACATCAACATGTTGCTTTGTGTTTGAATATTGTTTTGTAGGTTCTCCATGTCGGCGTATCATGGACCATGGTATTGAGCGTTTAAGTACGTTCCAAGAAAATCGGACGGCACATTCGCCTCTCCGACTTCCAGCGCCAATCGATGTTACATCATCTGGGGTCATGTTCAAAGCTTCCATGGCTATCATATGACCATGATGTTTACAAAGGAGCTTGTCATAAGGCCTTGGCCGTCACGAGTCGTTCCCGAGCCGGTTTATGGAATATGGATGGACATATGCCTTCGCAAACTTTTGTGGAGGGTTAGATCATTTGGAACATCAAGCCCTACAATAAATGGTGGATCGACAATTCAGAGACAACGGGTGCCCCTACAGTAGGCTGTTGTATCGGGGAATCGGTGAGCACACCATCACCGATCTCACCGTCGTCTGAAATGGGTGAGTGTCACTATTTGTGCTTGAAACTCGCGTTGGTGACCCTATCGGATAAGTGCTCCCAGCAATACTGTTAACAACAAGTCCCCTTGGCATTAGTTGGCATTGTGCTTGGAACTTGCGTTGACGACGAGACAATGATACACATGCATGAGTGCCCCTGATTGTGGAAGTCTCAATTATCAGTGTGACACGTCACACTGTCAACATTGTGCTGTGTTTGGGAACAGGGCCCAATGGTCCTCGGACCTCATGATGTAGGAAACGTTCAAATCTCCGAGTCCACCCGACGGGCACAGGTTGACGTACGCGTGCTTTGATGATTGCTCTAGATCTGTAACTCGAGCCTCTAGCATGGAAACATGTTATAGAACGAACATTGATCAGCCAGGCTCCCCTAACCAGGCCTTCGGGACAGGAAGGTATTGGTTTATTCTAGTAAAGCTAAGCGCTGATCACTGAAAATAGCAGATTGCCTGACCCGTTTGGGCCATGTTTCACGATGTAATTGCGATGTTCAACGGACATGCGATGCGCAACAGCCATGCGATTTACAGAGGCCGGTCATTCTGATAAGCCATCAAGATGCACCCCCCATCTGCTGCGGAATCATCATGGTGCTGAGGTAAGATAGACTTTGACTTTGTAGAAGAGGTCTGATTGGGTCTTAACTGGTCAGCAGTCTTATGCCCACTAGCCAGTGGTATCTAAAATAAGTAACAAAGGTTAGTACGCATTCGGAGCCTCGGAGGTCGTAAAGGTGTTGTATAACCCTTATCACTTTGCTTTGTATCTGATGCATGGAATACAAGGCCACCTCTTTGAACAAGGTTGAATTATCTGTGCTTCATACGTGCTGTGAAGCGCACACTACTGATCAAGTTTCAGTGCCGAGCACCAGTAGAAATCGGTCGGACAGCCTCGCATGGAGATTGTCGGAAATCGATCGAATTTGGAAAGTTCAGCGTCTGTAAACTCAGGTGAGTGCTGACTGAACGTTCCAGCGCTCGGGTTGACCGGTCTGGCAGCGCTTCAGCGTTACTCATTCATCGGACAAACCTCTCAAAGGAAAGGAATGTCACGGTGCTTAAAGTATCTTCCGACTACTTAGGTGATGTGCTTTCTGGAAGTTATTTCATCTCAATCATTTGTCAGAACCTATCGGGGCCGCCACCCGGTCTATTGAAAATGTGCACTAGCATATCGTCCAACAAGGAATTTTCCGCATCTTTTCTTGATTGTTGCCACCGCTGATGATGTACAATTAGTATACTTTTGCCGCATTCTCCAAACGAAAGTACATGCATACTTATAGCCAGGGACAAGGTTGCTGCCGGTAAAGGCTTTAAGCTCTATCTAGTACTATAAGTCTATAATTAAAAGTGCTAGAAACCGCCTTTTTGCGGCAGAAGTCGGAGTATCGCCACGACAATAATTATATTAATAGCACGCGTACTGCCGCAGTTAACGTTGTTCAATACAGTTGAGGTACTTTGATCACCGCGTCAACACAGTGTTTCACAAACTAGGCCAAGGTCCTCATCGCCTGGCATTTTGAGGCTCATCTGATTGTAAACTTGTTGACAGATGGGCCTAAGGCGTGATCACAGGAAGTACCTTACGAGTCGCGATGCACACCCGTTGATGCTGACCACACGGACTGACATTACCCGGCCAGGCCCATCGCAACAGGATTGCAATTTTTTTGCATTGTAATGTCGCCCATTTCTATATCAGAAAATTCATTGTCACAGAGCGCTAGATTGGATCATCATGATATATAGTGCGTTCCCTTTCGGAGATTGTACTGTTTACTTGTTCTTTCGCTAGGCCACTCACTCTCGAGCCCTTTATTCTTTTTAGGTGGGCTTCTGGAAGTCCCCAATTATTGTACCTTCAAGCCCGCAGGATTCCTAGTACCTACCATTCCTTTCTCAGCACCTTCTTGTTAACATGGGCCTGGACGATAACCTGGTTTATCACGCCGACATTTTAATTTTTGGTATTATCCTCATATTCACCCTTGCCAGTCTCCCCCGAGCGTATGCTCGTCTCAGCCGCAGGTCGGAATGGTCTCAAGGTCACTTCCTTCGTTCAATAAAACCTCTCCCTGCTACCACGCCAAGGTTCAACCCCACGCGCACCCCTTTAGCCCCCGTTGAACCTGAGTCCTTTGTGGATCTTGACCACGGGAACTCTTCGACTGCCTGCTCCCCATTACCGTCTGAACACCAAAACAGTCTAACACATGTCGTTAATGAGAAAGCCCTGCCAAAACACCCAAACCATGGCCCTGCTGTATCATCTATCTGGCACCACGTGGCATTTGTGTTGGACTACCGTGTTCACGAAAACTACTCCGTTAACCAAGTTCTCCTGATAATGGTGTACATCATTATTATATTCTACGTGTCTTTCTACCAGTCAGACCCATTTACGGACCCTCACCGAGCCGGATTTGTTATTGCTTCTCAAATTCCTTTCGTATATGCATTAGCCACCAAGAACAACATCATTGGCATGATGGTGGGCGTTGGATATGAAAAGGTGTGCTTGATCCACATGGTGTTTACTACGTTGTTGATCGCGGCGTGCAGTTGAACTTTCTTCACCGCTTGGTCGGTAAAGTGATGGTCATCGGTGCAAACGTCCACTTCATCGGCTATGGTATGTATTGCCTTATGCCTTCTCCGCTTTTGTCTTATCTGATGTGTGCTTGGCGTAGTCTATAAATGGAGCCTCGCCGGCGACATCTATAGTAAGCTTGCCGAGGATTATGTTCGCTGGGGGATCGTCGCGTTGGTATGTTTAGACATCCTGGGATTCTGCTCCACCGACTACGTCCGGTCAAAATCATACAACCTGTTCATCACATCGCATGTCGTGAGCCTCATCATCTTCTTATTCGCTGTAAGTATTTTCCCCTGTCTTGTTACCGACGCTAATTGTGTATAGGCATGCTACCACGAGCCTACCTGTGTTCCCTACGTGGCTGCTGCATGTGTATTTTATATACTAGATCACGTCGTTCGCGCCATCAAGACCCGCATCACTACGGCTAAGCTGCAACCTCTGCCAGAGCTTGGAATCACCCGAGTTGAGGTGCCTTCAATCAATGCAGGCTGGCGTGCAGGGCAGCACGTCCGCCTACGTGTGCTGTCTTCATCTATGGGATGGTGGGGATGGTCTGAAGTACACCCTTTCACCATCGCAAATGTGGCAGAAACATCGGAAGGAATGGTTCTTATGTGCAAGAAGACTGGCCACTGGACAGGCAGTCTTTTCAGTATGGCTCAAACGGCCTCTTATGGTGAAACCGGCAAGGAAGTCGGCCGTGATGTTAGAGTGATGGTGGAGGGCCCCTATGGTGCGTTGGTGTGTTGCCGGGGAGTCGATGCATCTCATGACATTCTATTCTTTCCTCGCAGGTGGCGTGGGACATACTGTGATGTCGAGCTATTCCGGTGCGGTGTTTACTGTTGGCGGGAGCGGCATCTCCTTTGCGTTATCGGCAGTGCCGGATCTGATCCAGGCAGCCACGGGCGTGAAAGTCATTGATATCATTTGGTCCGTCCAAGACCCTTGTACGTACCATCTTCTCACAATTTCCCTTGATCGTGATGCTCATCTGCCTACTCACAGCATCCCTCACCCCTCTACTCCCCCTCCTTACGAACCTCGTACAACAAAACTCTTCTACTCGCGTAAATGTGCACGTATACTACACCCGCGCAATTAGCACGTCATTTCATAGGACGTACCTCCCGCAAGGTATCACCATCCTGCCTGGCCGTCCCAAACTCGGGAAACTACTCGATCAAGCGATCACGAACACGATATCAGCTGGGGGCTCTAATGGTGTGTTCGTAGGCGTCTGTGGCCCTATATCGCTGGCGAATTCCATGGCGCGTGTGGTGCGATACTCTGACGTTCGTTTGTGCACGGCTGTGGGTGGAGTTAAGCTCCACGAAGAAACCTTTGGGTGGTAGATCGGATGTATTTTGCGGTGTAGCCCGTTGACAGGCTATGCAACACTCATTTGTTGTATTGTTATGGGTTTTTTATTCATTATCGATTGGGTATGAGCTCTACTTGTAGATGTTGGAGCTCAATTTATTGGCTGGTCCATGGTGAATCAACCTTGAAGACTTATGTAAGAGCGTTAACCGTTGTGCAAGAAACGTTCACGGTCAGGGGCGGCGGCTGGTTCCGCGGAACCAATGTGTGGACACCACGTGAGCTCCATTCGAGTTCAGCTCGGGCCGCCTAGATTCCCTCGAACACCAACTTCTTGACAAGTTGAAGCCTGGTCGTTTTCGCTGTCGTTCAAGTTCTTCCCTACAATGTTGTCCTTCCCGCACATTAATATTAGCCTCAAGTCCGTCCACTCTTTTCACAGTGTCGGAGTCGAAGTTTGAAAGTGCAGCTGTCTAGTATGCGCTTAGAATCCAAATAGATTCGGGTGTACTTCTGTGCCACGGCAGGCCACTATTCCGATATGTGATTGGTTGTCCCGTACAATCAATGTCATCGTGATCTACTCTGTTAACATGCACTGGGCGCGCGACTGGCGTGATGTGCAGGCACCGTTCTCCTACGCCAATGATATTGAAAGATCCTAGACGACTCACGAGCGCACACCGTGCCAACCGCGTGGTCTATACAGATTTCCTATGGTACCAGACTTCCGCAACTACCTATAGTACTTACAACCATTCGACTACAACACTTCCCCAGGCTCGAGCGTCCTATTGACGCTGTTTATTTTTCGTCCGAAGGTGACCGAATAGCTCCTTATCTACATATAAGTACCTGCAGTATCATTTCATATCTTATCTCTGCTATCGACTTGCGCTTTGCAGGAGCCATGTCTTCTGATTCCAAGCCTCGTGTGCCTCTGGTCATCCTCGGGGCGGGGGTGACTGGACTTACCATCGCCTACATCGCTGCCTGTGACTCGGATGTAAATTTTGACATCACGATCATAGCAAGAGATATGCCTGGGGATTGGCATTCTCAAGCTTGGGCAAGTCCATTCGCGGTGCGTACCTTTCGAGCGTTCTTCAGGCTCTTTCTTACTTCAGTCTTGCTTAGGGCGCAAGTTGGTCTCCAAATCCGTTAGGCGCCACGGATGAGCGTGTACGACGATGGGAGCAGATAACCTTGTGAGTGACACATCGCCAATGTCTCGAGATTTACTGACAAGGCTTCTCGGGCCACCAGTGATAGGTTATGGGACATGGCACCATCAGGCCTGGTCAAGGTCAGTCCTTGTTTGAACGCTCGTCAATGGGCATGACTGATAAACATTCCAGAGAGCACCCGCCAAGGTCCTCGGGGAGACGGATGGCCTTCTTTCTACTATCTGGTGGCAAGACCTCGTGCGTGATGTAAGCTCGATTCCGGTATCCTGTTGTCCTCAGATTCTAAGTACAAGGGTGATAGTTCAAATTGCTTTCAGAGTCCGAAGTCCCTGCACCGTGCAAAGTGGGCGCTGCTTTCACCACGGTCTGCATCAACCCTTTTGAATATTTACCATGGCTTCGATCGGAGCTCGAGTCTCGTGGCGTCGTGTTCCGTCGGCAATACATAAGGAGCTTGGACGAAGTCAAGCTTCTTGTGGGGAAAACCGGGTTGTTGGTCAACGCCACGTCTCTCGGTGAGCACATGATAGCCATGCCAGCTTCCGATGGTTATTGACGGTCCGGATCCGAAGGTTCACGGTCTTTGATCGGAGTAGAAGATACAGCAATGTATCCGATCAGAGGACAATCTATTATAGTCGAGCGCACTGGCTTGGAGGAATTTGTAACAGTTCGGTCTGGTCAGTCCGTATTGACAGTTGGCCCTCACCATCCCTGATGTGTCTGGCCTTGTACGTAGGTGGCGGGTTGTCAGAACTACCCACATCCATTACTCCTCGCCCTGGGCTAACGCAAATGAACACCGCGTCTCTGAACGGAACGTATCAAGTAGGAAGCTGGGACACATCTTTAGATATGTCAGCTGCAAGGGGGATATTTGAGCGGTGCTCCGTCATAGCGCCATGTTTGAAAGAAGAAGGGACGAAGATCCTTATGCACACCGTCGCTCTTAGGCCGGACAGGAAAGGCGGTCCACGTGTGGAAGCTGAGCGCATCTCACTTCCCCTTGTTCGAAGTGACGGTTTAGCTCCCAACCCGAGTGGAGATGCGGAACAACCGCAGGACATAACGGTTATTCATGCATATGGAATGGGGTGAGAATGCTTTCCGAAAATCGTGCGAGTTCTAACCTTCAGTTTCAGAGCCACAGGCTACCAAAGATCCTGGGGTGTAGCCATTGAGGTTCTATCTCTACTGAAGGAGAATATGTAAACAGGCCGCCGAGATTAACAACGCAGTGTCTAGTTCTATTCATTTCGAGCTCGCCATCGCACATATGCAACACTTAGCTTGAGCCTCACTCTCACCTAATACTACCCTTCATTCCTTAGTCCTCGGCCTGAGTGCTTAGCGCTCCTCGTGAGCATAGCCTGCTTGCTATTACGAATACTCCATGGGGAACGATGTCGGATGGACTGCCGCGGAATATATATTCATAGCTCTTCCTCAGGTGACAGCATTCCTGCACATCACATGCGAAGGTGGGCCTGAATCATGATGTGGTGGTGGAAGAATGGCAAGTTGATACCGGACTACAGACTTGAATTCCTATACCTGAACGGTCTGAATAAGGGAAGAAGGTTGAGCTCAGCCTTTTTTCCTTCGGCCGTCGGTCAGCGTTTGAAGGCAGGGCAGCATCGCATCAACGATGAGGATCAAAGTAACGTTGGCGATATGCCACTCCGTACATCACGAACGCGAGCTAATTCATCTTACACATATTTTCAGACGGCCGAAACTACTAAGTTTGCTTATTCTGTAACTGCTTATTCCTCTGATGAACTTCTGCAGGTGCCTGAAGTGTTTCCTTGTAGCCAGGAAAAAAAAACACCCATACCTGTGAACAGGCACGGGAGATCTCTTTTCCCCCTGACTGCATGGATGCACTCCAGGCAGCTGCAGAAGCAGACTTAGTAGTTTCGGGCCTCGGCCGTCTGAAAATGCCTGCAGAAATTTCATCTTGCGAAGGCACATAAGGAATGCGAGCCCGAAAGTGTCCTTTTGTATACGGAAAGGTGTTGATATAAGCAAGCAGGGACTATGACCTTGCGAGAGATGTCATCCAGAAGGTCTCCTTGCGTCGCGCACTGCACGCACATTACAGATCATATGACTCTGCACGAGCAATTAAAAGTTGTGATATGCAAGACAACCTTGATTTCCTGATAGACTACCTCTACAGAATGGATCAATGCATGCACCTAGCAGCGTCTATATGGCTCTTCCCAACACCCATCCACAATAAAAATAACACAACGAAGACCATGTAGGGTACGGAACATGACAACAAAAAATGCGAAGGAACGGAAGGTGCACTGAAACGTGTGGCTGCAAACGCGATTATCAGGGGGAAGAAATGAGCCTCTAGTCTATGGTCTATGTCTAGAAATGTGATATTGATAGTCTATCCTGTTCAGTCCGCTAGTTGTGAATGTTGACGCTTAGCCTTCATTCCCGGCTCACGTCACTACAAATGTGTGGTGAGTTCATTGTTCTCAGATAAAGCGAGTTTGATGGAAAAAGAAGATATTTGGAGGTAGAAAGAGAAGACAAAAAAAGCTCAGTACTCACCGTCCCCATAACTTCACCCTTATCCAATCTCCAGCAACCAAGCTTCGGTTTCGCAGGGAGAACAGAGTGCTCAGATATGCACTCCGCCAGAACATGAACGTCGCAACACCTCCACTCGTCCACTATAACCCAGTCAATTTATATATCCTATAGTAATAGTAGTAAGCAGCGTACCTCACGTCCGAAAATAGGCAGGTCAGCAATCGCCTTGTCCGAGCCGATATAACTGTAGATAATGCGTTAACAGAATGAGCAAGCAGAACAAGGGAATACGCACGCCAACGAGCCTTGATGACTGTAATGGAAAGGCTTCAACTTGACCTTGTCTACCTGCTTCTTCAGTTTCTCTGCCTCTTCACTGGTCTCAGCATGAGACAGGTCAGCCTCCAGTTGGTCCTTCTTCGCAAGTAACTTGAACACGCGTGAGAGGTATGAACCCTGCTGGCTTGCGACCTGGGCAGTTGGAGCATAAGACGAGGCCGTACAGTCACCGATAGCAAAAATATCACGAGATCCCTTCATGCGAAGGTGATCATCGACGGTAATCCCGCGCTTGTTCGCCTGGTCTTCAGGGAGCTTCGCCATCAGATCCCGTGTTATTTGGCGACTAGTGTTGCCCTGTGAAGAAGACACATGAAAAACAGAAACACCAGAACGAGAACAGAGCATACAGCAGCCCAGACAACCATCCCGCATGGCACCTCTCGTTCGACACCATCGGGGCCCTTGAGAACGACGCTCTTCTCGTTGACCTTCCTCACCATGGTCTTCGTGAGGATATCAATGTCGGATTCCTTGAACGTGCGCTCAGTATAGGCAATCAGTTCTTTGCTGAATGAGGGAAGGACGCTGGGAAGAGCCTCGACTAGCGTGATGCGGATCCGTGAGGCAAGCTCTGGGTACCATGACTTGAGATCCTCCTTGGAGTTGATGAAGATACACAGTCAGGCGGTAGGAAAGGAAGAAGGAAAAATGGCAGTCGTACCTCCAGGAAGTCACGGAGTTCACCACTAAGTTCGATACCCGTTGGTCCACCACCGACTACTACCTGCCAAAGAATGAGTACATGTTCTTGGGTAATGAAAGTTCACGTAGAGGAAAGATATCCATCTATGCTGGCAGTAATTACAAGTTATCAGAGTTCCCTCACAATGGAGGAAGAGAACGTAAAATGCGGAGTCACAAGAAAGAGACATTAGAAAATCGTCAGACGTACCATATGCAACAACCGGTCTTTCTCCTCGTCACTTTGGCCTGGGAAAGCAGCGCTCTCTACGCCTATAAGCAGCTATGAGTTGTACATCGCAGATAATGAATGATGCCAAAACGCACAGTCCAAAAAGCGTCCTTGCATCTGCAATATATCATTGTATTCAATAAGGTGGCAGGGGCCAGAGGGAGCATAGACGCACCTTCTCAGCATCATGAAGTTCTTTCATGAAGCATGCGTGCTCCTTCACGCCGGGAATACCAAATGTCTGCGTCTCGGCACCGACAGCATATACAAGATAATCGTACGGTATGGTCGTACTGGATATTTGACCTCGAATCTCGGAGTCATCTGTGACAATTCGGCTCTCGTTATTATCTGAAAGAATAACGAGGGATGGAAAACATACCCGAGAGCGTGACAGTTTTATTAATAGGCTATTGTAAATAAAGCACTTTAATCTCTGCTGAGTAATATATGAGAAGAGACGTACGTCAACTTCCTTGGCCTCTGCTTCAATGACTAAAACCTGACGTTGTTTGTGTCGCGTCAGGTAGCGAGTAGCTGTATTTTTGTTGTTGTCAAAATCTGCAACAACCAAATATGAAGGAAACTCACGCTGAAGGATAGATCGTGCATTCAGCGTGCCAACTGCCACAGAGGGAAGGAGAGGCGTGAAAAGGAAGAAGTTCTTTGGGGAGACAACGATCTAGTGCATCGGCATGCAATTAGCCTGTGAACACGGCACTATTAAATATGTGCCATACAGTGTTATAATCGCTGGTGTCAAGCCCTTTAAGGAGGCTCGTCGCTCCCCAACCGCTACCTAAGATGACCAAGGTCTTCTTTGAGGGATCGAATGGGAGTTGTGGCCCCGGGTTTTTTTCCTTATGTGCGATGTAGTAGAATGTTGCCGAAGCTATATGTCAAAATTACATGGTTAAGAGAAGGTCGGACAACGTCCCACGATCAGTCAAAGGTGTTGCTTGTGAGAACACAGCACTTGCCTCCGACCACTGTTACGAGTGTCACACGTCCCAGAGTCTGCAAAAAGTATCTCCATCTCCCTTGAGACGGGGGTGGTGGAGTCTATTCATAACGAAGGCTTGAGATATCAACAAGAAAGCTGGACACGGGAAACACACCTGTGATGCAGCGGCGCCCGTCGAGGCTACAGACCCTGATTGGGCTCTGGAAGTCGAAGCCGTCAAGAAATGTTTTTGTACATGCACGTGAGAGCGGACAAGCGTCCTGCTCATGGACATAAGGCGGACTGTGCACCAAAATAACCCATTATAAAAATTTTGACTTCAAGTTTGATCAAAACTTACTTTGTCGTGCAGCCTGCATCGAACAGAGGTACAGTGGAGGAAGAAAGAGGAGGTTCTGAAAAAATTAACGGCTGTGTATAACTTAAAGGCGCTTCGGGGAGTCGGGGATGAGTCTTGCCGGAAATTAGTTCAAATGACGATTTCATTCTAACTTTTACCTCCGGCCCACCTCCGTTTCGGCGCCTAAGACGTACTTGACCTCCGAGGTCACCCGAAAGGCTCTAGGCCGGTATCAACCTTGCTTTAGCCTTGTTCCAAAATCAATCTATGCACGTTGGATCATCTAATATTCGAAGCAGCCCGCGATGCGTGTTTCGCCTCACTTTTAACTGGCGCATAATTTAAAGACACGTTTTCCTGGAGACGACGCGTTCCCGTTTACTCTCGCAACTTTTGAAGCAGTCCAATCACCGGACCTCAACTTTACACTTACTCAACAAATCAAATTGCAAAGCAACCGGATGCATCGCATCAGTTGAACTAGGTTGTCGATCGTGGCGGTAGCGCGGCTGGCCTGGTCCTTAGACTGTTTCGAAGGCCTGACCAATCGGAAGCATGACGCCATAGGCAGCACCCCCGATTAGTCGTCCATGGCTGCGCCTTCCCAGTACTCTTCCAGTACTCAAATCAAGTAGCCGGCCGTACTAGACGGACTCGGATAAGTCATCATCACTCTATACTTTGCGAACGATGTTCCTACCAGCCGCGGCGCAGCTTGAGTCTCTCAAGTATAATGTATAGGGAATCGCCAAATCTTGGAGTCTTAGACTGCAGCTCAGACTCATCATGAAGGACACGAGACCAATGTTATAGGATCATTCAGGAGGAGACCGGGTCCGACCCGAAAGATAGCGCTGCAACTCACACTATTTAAAAACATAGTGCCCCGTTCTCCACGATGCGTTGAGTTCTTCGTTTTTCTTTTTCTTCAGAAATGAATTTCCCATGGGTTCCTAATTCTCCGAATCCTCACATTGTCACCGGATGATAGCTTAATGGCAAGAACGCTAAGTCTATAGTTAAGTCAAAAAGGGTGAGACAACTGGCTCTCTCGTTCTTAGTGATGCATGTTTAACCTCACTTTTAACTGGCGCGTAAGACACGTTTTCCTGGACCGAGTTTTGGACAACACGTTCCGGTTTATTCCCGCAACTTTTGAAGCAGTCCAATCACCGGACTTCAGCGTTACACTTACTAAATTGCAAAGCAACCGCCTGGCTCCGAGACTATAGCATGCGGTAGTAGTCAACTAGCTGCATCGCATTAGTGGAACTAAGTCTTAAGCCATGGCGGTAGCGCGGCTGGCCTGGTCCTTAGACTGTTTCGAAGACCTGACCGAACGGAAGCATGACACTATGGGCAGCACCTCTTGATCAGTCGTAAATTTCGAGTCATCTCCATGGCTGCGCATTCCCAGTACTTTGCCAGTACTAGCACTCAAGTCAAGTAGCCGGGCATACTAGGCGGACTCGGATAGGTCATCATCGCTCTATGCTTTGCGAACAATGTTTCTACCAGCTCGGCTTTTTCTTCAAAACGTTCACATACAGGTGATCCTACGTACTGCTGGAGGTCGATTACCCTGTGGTGCTTGTATACCGCCCCTTCTGGAGAGTTAGAAACACAAGTTTTTACTTGCAGGTAATTGTCTCAACGTGATACGTGAATATGGGATCGAGGTGCAAGCCGATCAGAATGATGAAAGTGTCGCTGCCCATGGGCTTTACTGTGTCGAGTCCCATGTCTTTTTCATGAACATTTTCAGGCTTTACAAATTCATCGAAGACGCGAATACATGCGAATCACACCATCCTACGTCTCCTGCTGCAAGATGAACAGCTCATTTCTCAGCTCCGCTCTCTCAAGCGTTATTTCTTCATGACCTCATTGTTCCTCACTCACCTACTAGACCTTGCCCACAGAGCTGAAGAAGCCCGCGAAAGGTGTCAGTATTGTGAAGCTACAGAGTCTGCTCGATCTTGCACTTATAGGGAAAGATATCGCGTTCCGTGAAGATGTGCGAGTCAGCATCGCGAGCAGTGGATTGTATGAGTGGTTGCTCAAGGTCATCAATGTAAGGGGCGTAATTGACGGTGAGGAAGGCGAAGGCGTGGCAAGCTACAATTGATATACTGTCTCTCATTTTAGACGGGAACTGAGAGAACTTGAGGTGATGACACGAGAAAGTGCAATGTCATCAAATGATAGCTTAGTGGCAAGAACGCTGGGTCTGTGGTTGAGTAAATTTTATTTTGAAAGAGTACGCGAAACAACGGGAATTGTGGGATTGATTGTATTACATGGGCATCCATCATGTCGGCAAGCGTGATATATGTACAGGGAAGTTACTTGTGGGTGAGGCTGCGGCAACGCCGGACCTAGTGCGATGAATGACTCTCGCACGAATGTGTGATGGCGGTGGCGACAGGGAAGATGATTTCTTTTATTTTTGTAAGTATCAGCACCTCGCCGAACGGGGTGGTGAGCATTTGCTTAGTTGATACGACGAAGGCGATTGACATACTGTACTGGATACTGGAACGGGGCTTGGGATGTTTAGTATATGAAAAGGATTTAGAGGGATGATTGGGAACGGAGAACCAAGAACGTTCTTATTGCAGCGAGATACATGAAACTCGTTGGCCCTCAACCGAACAACACACGATTCGCTGCATCAATAAGCTCATCGTTCTCTACCCCTCCTGATACGAATGGCTCGAAACCCAACGCCCGACGTCCTTGGCTAGTGGTGATATCCTGCGCCGTAGCTCGTCCCGTGAAAGTAGATTCGCCGGAGCCTCCAGGAAAGTCCCTGCCAGCATCGAGCAGTCAGCATTAAAGAATCGCTCGAGACGAAATACATATACCCCCTCATCCGTCAGTTAACCCACAGGCCCAAGCTTTATCCCAAGAGCAAAAATACTGTGAAAAGTAGGTCTTATCACGCGTAACCTCGAAGGAAACACCATCCGATTGTATCCTCTTATTTCCAGGATCCGTCACAGGAAACCACGGTGGCCCCCACGGGAAGGAGCCAGGATCCTGCTTGAAAAGGGTAAGAGACAACGTGAATCGCTCCACATGCAAGTCTATTCCCCTTGTGGCATATGCAGCATATGAAATTGACTTCAAATCGTGGAGGGGAGGCAGATGCGGGTAGACCATTGAAAGGGTTTCAAGGCTCTTCATAGAATACCATATATCGTTACTCGTCCAAAAATACCCCGCGGTTTTTGGCGAGGTTGCACCACAGCTGATGCCGCGAAAAATGTTTGATTCCTCAGCCAAATCGATTAGCTGAGTGAGATGCGGGATTGATGCAAGGAAAACAAATGTTGGGAAATGGTTGTAAATGAAGTCCGCGTCCTGGGCTTGACGTATTATCGTTAGATTTTGGGTTTTCCCAGGAAAAGAAGAGTGTCCGCCGACATTGAGATCTGTGCGAGAAGACCATGCATCTTGCACGCTGTCCATGATATACCTTAAATGGCGACAGTCAACAGCAAGTTCTGGCGCAGCAAGGATCACTGGAAGCAACACGCTTATGTTGCGCTCTCGCGCCTCATCTTTGTTTGAGAACAAATATCTGGCGTGCCCAAAAAAGGGAGAGTCTTGGTTCTCCAACCGGGCCTCTGCATAGACGAAATAATCAAATACGTCACTAATCCACATCCTCTGTACAGCGGAGGTATAGTCAAAGAAAAGATCGCTCTTTTTCTCAGCGTACGCTTTCTGCATAAGCAGAGCATTTGCGAACTTCTTTAAGCTGTGGCGTCGGCGGAGCAAGATCGTGCGCAGAAAATTGGGGAGGATAATGCGTCTGACAAGACGAGAGACGAGACATAAGGAGAGGGCGGTCGAGTAAGGATTTTTAATGTCATATTTCTCCCTTTGAGAAAACGTCGGCTGGGCTGCGTCTTTGCAGATGGTCAAGATAATCTCGATAGAAAGCTTAGGTGCCATGATAGAAGGGTTAGATACGTAGCTCGTTAGAAATGGCCCTGCTTTTAATACTTTCAGCATCACTCGTGGCGTCAGATCCGCAGCAAGAGATGCACGTTCACGTTGTGTGTGGGGCCACACGTTGTGACAACAAGAGTTGTGACCAGTGGTCCATAACACAGTTATTGTTTCTTCTAGGTCACACGATGTACTCTTGTCCTGCGGAAATTCCTATTTGTAATCCCCAAAGACCATCATAACAGTGATGCGAATGTGGCACGAACCGTAGAATATACCTTCCGACCCGGGTCGATGACACATGAAGTTCCGTCATAGCACAACTCTTATAGTGCATGGCTGGCCACTAAGTTACTGAGTTGTTCCCGGACCAATTTCACTGCAAGGATGCTTTGTAAAAAGTGAGATAAAACCCATCTTCAAGTCGATTTAGCATTGCCTTATTTCCCGAACTGACCCATAATATAGCACCCCGCGGCCGTCTGTGCGAGTTACATTTGTCACCGAGCAAATGCAAGCACTGACAGATGCACTCAAGGCATTGATGAAAGTGCAAACTTTGATGGGTGAGCCTCCCTGCGCAGGCGAGTCAGTGTATGAACTGCGCCTCTATCCTGAGGTTGGACTAATATGGATGCTTACTAGTTGAGGTTGTGTCGAGGCGCAGAATGATTCGATGACTGGGTGAAAAGTATCGGTCGATATACTGACAGCCCGAGCCACTCATCGTACGATGCTACAGGATTTCGATTGTGATTCGAATACTTGAAATGATCGTCACTAAAGTAGGGAACAACGTGAGAGAGGGGTAAATGCGAAAACAAGATGACTACACCGCGAGAGTATCAGAATGATTGATACAACGACTTGATGTTGGACAGTGCTAGCGTACCATAAAGATCATGCGTTGTAAGAACGAAGTCAATCTTGAATCGCAATCTCGTACTCGTAGATCCAGGTAACTTGGATTAGTGTACACACGATAATGACTCCGAGTCGAGAGGGCTGTAGCATACGCAAACAGCAACTGGATCCTGCATGTAGCTAGACATCGCTTTACAATTGAAGCTTTGAAGATGTTGAGTATATTCAGAATAATGGATCAATGATGACGCGTTCGGAGCTGTGCAGTTCCCAGTCTGGTCAGACTCCTGTCTAACAGAACTAGTAACCCCGACCTCCTCCTTCTAAGATTCGGGGGAAGACCCCACCAGGGTTCGGCACTTCCCGTATCGATATGAACCAGCTGCCGAGAGGTCGACCGGTCAACCGACGCGTTGGCACGGATCTCGCACCGCATCTGTATCGCGTCTGATTATAAGTAGGCACTCGACCGCATCTCAGAAACTCTATGAGACTTCCAGGTGGTCGTGAGCAGAGAATATCGTGCGTGAATAACAGATGATACGATCATGTTGACGGCAGGGATGGTAGATGCACCGCTGATTGTTAAGTTGCATACCCAAGAACGTTCATCAGGACCTCGCGCAAATATAGCATGCTGGTATCGTTTTGCAGCTAACAAAATCAAATTGAAAGAGCACAATCTAGCAGATGCTATCAGTAACCTTAGTATGAAGTACGAAATTGAACTCACTGTCTTATCAACCAATTATAACCATCTGCCAGAATTGTGCTGTATGCCACAACACCGCTATGTGCTTGAAGCGAACGCAAGAACCAGCATCATGTTACACTGGCTCTGGGGTAACGTTCTCGTAAACTACCCCATCGGAGGCCACCATGATCTAGAGTTGGCATAAGCTGATCAGATGGGACGCGGGCCATTTCCTTCCCTGTAGATATAATAGGCAGAGTCCTAAACAGCATTGGAAAGGTCGATAAGATGTTCGTCTTCCCAGCGGTGTTTAGACCACCGCAGGCCTAGCAAATTTCAGAACACTAAGAGGAGACGGTTGACTTCAGCTGCAGGGCACCAAGGTCCAAATATACGGCCTACCTTAGCGGCTTGGATGGAACTCGTTTGCTATTGACAACCACTACTGGTCGAAGTATCATGATATGGTGATGAACTTACCGAGGACAAAAACTCGGGGTAAGTAGTAAGCGTGGGACTAAGACTGTGCTTTGTGTGCTCTTTCTCTCATCATCAATATTCTTTGACCGTAAGCCTGTGTGAGGTACGTTGTTGAGCTGTGCAGGCGAGTGCTTTTAGAATATCGTGATCCTGATTCAAGTGCTTATTGTAAAGGGTAAGCGGTAATTGTCGATAGGCTGTCGATAAGTTCACCCTCGTTACAAAGGACATCATTCATTGTCCATTCAGTTCAAGTGTTGTAATCATGATCCTTTATGCAATCCCTTGTCCTCGTTTCTAACCCCATGACATCTATACGGCAATTTTCCGATTCAAGCCAGTGCTGCTCTTTCTTATCGTCAGAAGTTTCCTGCATTGCAAGTAGGTCCACAGCTTCGTGCCAATGGTTCCTTCCGGCATTCGACTCGGTAGAACTTTCCTTTTTTTGTTTCTTCATCTTATTAGTCCCTAATTCCGACTGTCTTGCTGACGCCGAAAATTTGTATAAAAGGCCCATCGTTGTTAGTGTGTACCTGACACATAACACCCTCCTACGCGGACTCGAATTTTTAAACGTGATCATCGTGCTTTTTGAAACATTATGTTGCCCTCAACTCCTGGCGCTGACCTTACCCCGTCTGAAGACAATGGTGTTGGGCTCTCCGACTCCACTTTGTCACAGCACCGTCGAAAGATGCTTGACCTCATCAACCGTCTCCACACCACAGGGCTAGTTTTTTTTCCTCTTCGTCATGTTCTTGGGCTCATCGAATCAATATCTAGTGTGCAGACGGACATGGACCTGCCCATGATCGCAGTCATTGGCTCACAGAGTGCGGGGAAATCCTCTCTTATTGAATCCATTTCTGGGATCACTCTCCCTCGCTCAGCTGGAACGTGTACAAGGTCAGCGCGTGCCCGTTTTGTTTTTAGAAACGCCACATCTAACCCTATTGAAGGTGCCCAACTGAATGTAAACTTTCACGCTCCGAAGACTCCTGGAAATGTCTCGTCAAACTTCACATTACTACCGGCCCGTCGGGCCAACCCTGTGATGTGCTCACCATTCCTTTTGGATCACCCATCACCGATAAGGCCGATGTAGAAGATCGAATCAGGCGTGCTCGAAGGGCAATTCTAAACCCAAGCACTGAGCCACAGAAGTTTCTTTATGAGCTAGAAGATCAAACCGCTGAGCAAGCTGAGTTATCTTTCTCCAAAAATTGCGTTTCTCTCGAGATAAGTGGGAAGGATGTGGCGGATCTCTCATTCGTGGACCTTCCTGGACTCATCGCGAGCGTCGGGAGTGCAGGAAAGACCGGGGATATTGATCTCGTCAAGGGTTTGGTGACGTCTTACATTGAGAAGCCTAGTTGTGTCATCCTTCTGACGGTTACTTGTGAAAGTAAGTGGATTCCGCGCACTGTTCAATCTTTCCTTAGTGATGTGGCGGAGCAAAAAATTGGGTGTGCGGCGGCCTAGATAGGTCTCATTTGGAATAAAAGAGCGTCAATCAAATCGTTGGACTGATGAGAAGAGAGTCATGGGATGCCCGGACGGCCATTGTGTTTTGTTAGGACAATTCCAGCAACATTCCAGTGGTAGTTCTTGCTGTCGTTTTGCGCGTCCGAATCTGCAACGCTCAATAATATGGACCCTTACACGCCACGAATACGTCCAGGAGATGTTTATCTGCAAAAGAATATACCAAGGTCTCAGTCTCTTTACCTCTCATGTTTACTTATTATGACATGCAAATGATCGACCATCCAGATTACCGGCACTATCGCTTCTGTTTGCGGAAACAGACGACTGAACGACGATATCTATGAAGATCCAGATGTTTCATGCACTCATCACGAGAAAGCCATAGCAGAAGTACGTGGTCCTCGATGGCATGCATGCCACGAGCCATCATTTATCACTGAGATTTCGTTCGTGCGCGTACGACTATACTCACGGTCAAGGTATATGGCACTCTTCTAACTGCAGCGGGGCTGCTTTATATCGAGATGCTCAGTGTATGGACAACTACGGGTCGTCTCGAAGACCCATATGAGGAGCTGTGCGTCAAGGAGAGCGAGTTCATCAGTAAGGGCATTTTGGAAGTGGATTACACAGACGAGTATTGGGATAGGCGATATATAGTGAGCTTCGTGTCTGATAAAATGGTGTACTAATGTTTGGGTAGCTTCGTGATGGCTCGACCCTTTCTTCAAAGCGCGAGCATACAGATGTTCCTCCACCACGTGCTGCTGGAGGTTGATTTCCCGGTGGCGCTTGTATACCGCCCCTCCTGGAGGGTTGGAAATGCAAGTTTTTACTTGTAGATAAATATCTCAATGTGATACGTGAATGTAGGATCGAGGCCCGGGTGCAAACCGATCAAATTGATTCAACGAAAGAGTCGCTGTCCATGGACTTCGTTGTGTTGAGTCCCATATCTTATTTTCAAGCATTGCAAATTCATCGAAAACACGTATACACATGGATCACACATCCTGCTGCAAGATGAAGCTCATATATCGGCTCCGCTCTCTCAAGCATTATTTCTTCCTGGCCTCCTCATCATTCCTCACTTACCTCTTAAACCTTGCTCATGGAACTGAAGAAGGGCCTGCGAAAGGTGTCAGTATCGTTTAGCCACAAAGTCTGTTAGACCTCGCACTTACAGGGGAAGATGCCGTGTTCCGTGAAGATGTATGAGTCACCACCGCGAGATGAATGGTTACCCAAGGTCATCAACGTGAGTGGCGTGATCAGCGATGAAGGCGAAACCTCAAGGCGTGGCAAGCTACAGCTCTCTCATTTTAGACGGGAACTGAGAGAACTTGAGGTAATGACGTGAATTAGAAAATGAAATACACAATGTCACCAGGTGATAGCTTAGTAGCAAGAACGCTAGGTCTGTAGTCGAGTCAAATTTTTGAAAAGAGCACGTAGAACAACTAGGACTATGGGACTAGTACTGTACTACATGGACATCCATCATGTCAGAAAGCAAGCGGTCTGATAACGAAGTAGATATATATAGATGTACAGGGAAATTACTTGTGTGTGAGGCTGCAGCAATGCTGGACCTAGTACGATGGGTGAGTGCTAAAAAAATAAGACATACAGCTGTAACTCACCTGCGTATACTAGTTTAATTGACCTCGTGTTCGAGTACGCAGCATGCTGCTCCATTCTTGGAGCCAAGAAAGTCGAAATTCTCAGCGTTGAGTTCTTTACGCTTCTCTACATCTGGCAGAAAGTCACGCTTATCAACTCTGCATGGTGATGAGTGGTTTGGTTACTCACCGGAACGTTTCGCAATGGCTCCTTCCATAGGGTACGCTGTAACAAGAACCACGATGGATGCGAGCGCGCTGAGGACGAGAGAAAGCTTCATGTTTGAGAGATGCGACTTGTACTTTGTTGATGGACTACGTTGGAATCTTCAAGAGGGCTTTATACCATTTCGCAGGTCCCAGGTCACCTGAATTGGTCGAAGCCTTATCCACTCAGAACTTTTGTGAGGGGTTGTTCTAGTTAGCCTGAGTGTTATTGGAAAATCACTCAACACCCACAATCCCAACGAGGACAACACTCCCAGGCCCGATTCTCACATTCGTAAATCGCACCATTGGCTGTCAAAAATACAAAGTCAACTTCAGAGAACTCACGGCGGACAACCGTTTACGTTAACCTCATCCTGGATCTTTTAAGATTCGGGTTGTTAATCTTATGTAGGCCCTTTTCACGGGGAAACTTTGTTTGCCTGTTGTCGACAGTCCAACAGTTTTCGTCTGGAGATCTTTTGCCAGTGTCTGCTCCTCAAGCTTCTTGAGCACACATCAAGATTTTTTCCGTTTTAACCCGCGACTTGAAGAAGAACACTGAAATTACCCGTGCGCATTTAATTCGCGTTATCTCAAAAAGACTACATACATTACACGTGCATGACTGTACTGACAAGGAAATGAAAAAAGAACCAGTGTCCTCGCGCAATCTGCAGCACGTTTGATCATGACGTGCCGGTCTTGGTCCCTCGAAGGGCACGAATGTGTAATATTAATGGCGATAAGATGTTTTCTGTATCAGTCTAAGAAATTGACCCACCGTAAGTCGCGTGGGGCACCTGAAAATGCATATGTGTGATGATGAACCTGGTGACTAAACAAAAGACGATACATATCTATAGGAGACGCACACATGGTGTAGCGTAGCTAATTTTAGAACTCCGTCTGGCTCTCTCATTCTTTGGTGATGTGGCGAAGCGAAATATCAGGTGTGCAACGGTCTAGATAGGTCTCATTGGGAATAGAACAGCGTCAATCAGATCATTCAAGAAGTGACAAGAAGATCCTGGGCCCATACCCAAACGGCTATTGTGTTTTGTTAGTACAGTAGTAGTTCTTGCTGCTGATCCTGCCAATTGGGACGAGTCGATACTAGACACAAAAAACATCACCTCAGTTTGCTAGTTCTTCCTGATTTTTGACTGGTACCCCGTGCCGTCTTATGCACTAGTAGCGACCACGTACAAGTTCGTTCAGATCCTTATTTTTGTTGCTGAAAGCAATATAAAATCATTTATTACGATGTCAATGCCCCAAAATCAACGCAACGCACCCTGAAGGACCCATCAGTTCTCTGATGACCCACGCTAACGTCAGGTGGTGGAGGCTCTGTCAGAATGCACCTCGCTCTTCCCAGTCGTTATCAGTACCCTCAATAGTTGCTGTGTCACTCTTGCTGCAGTATATTACATCAAGGTCTTAAAAACAGACCTTGATAACAACAATTGCAATGAGGTTCTGTTCCAGGTTCCAGGTTCTGATCGCAGGGGGAGATTGATGTCATTAATCACCGCTCTTGCTGGAACTTGACATGATGCATGTGACGGTCAGGATGGAGGAGTAATCCGACAGCTCCTGTACAAGAAAAATCCGCAGCCAGGCTCTAGTCAGCTCTTTAATTGATGGTGACTCGAAGAAGAAAAAAGCTATAACCGATGTCCCATGTGTTGGCGATAAGAAGTACGAGTGTGCACATGGTACCAGCCTCGGGAGGATTAGCATCCCGGACGTTCTTTTCCCTATCACCGGTTGCTCTCGGACATCTTGACACTTGATATTTAATATTTGTTTTCCTCATACAAGGCTGCTATCAGACTTGGATGCGACTCAAACAACAACAACTCCAATCTATACGCTGAAAGAAATCAGTGTTGATACATAACCAGCACTAAAAAATACCTGAAAGAATTGACCGACGTGATGTTAGAGAACAAGGATGTACCACTCTGTCTCACCAGAACGTTCCTAACTTCCTTTTTCGTACTTGAAGTTGAGGCAAGAACTTAAGAACCTGAGCAGATGACAAAATATATTATTCAGAATTCAATGTGAGCACGTTAATTCAACTAAACTCTTAATCGCTACCGTTTTCGCAAGATACTCGTGAACTTGAATGTATGTAGTGAGTAAGGTGCACGTCATTCCTTATCGACGTGCATCAGATGGGAGGGCAAGGGCATGTCAACTGTATCTTTGAAACGAGTAACTGCCGATTGAGGGATATGAACAGCATGCTCGACAGCCAAATCCAAGATTTTCTCGTAGTTCCTGCATTGGTGAGACAATGGAGTTGATGAGGGGCTTCCATAGATACCATGAAGCCCCCACCAAATTCAGGTGGATATCTGACCTTGGAAGGTGAGTCTACTTCGCCGGCTTTGAGAATTTCCTTAAGTGACATCCGAGTTGGCAGCACTGAGGTTTCATGGACGCGAATAATATGAGGGGCAAAAATTGGGCGACATACCATCATGAGCTATCCTAGCCCAAGCAGCATCAATTTCTGGGGAAGGAGGGCCACGATAGATAGAAGGAAAGTCGAGCATTCCATTGAATCTTACGATCGTGGATTCAACAGCACCACCTGCTGGAGCTGTGGCAAATCGTCAACACTATGTCAACTGTTCGAGGATGTCTGTTCACTCACAGTATGCGGGAATGTCGTCATGCAGGTTGGGCGAAGGTGTGCCCACCCATAGCGCGAAAAAGAGTATTGATGTAAATATCAACGTGCCACGACTCAACATGGGCAACACGCGAGGTATATGCAACTTAGGATGAGTTTCTGCACGAAGCCTTTCCGTATAACCGAACGATTCCTCATTGTCGTTGTCGACACCATCGACAGGAGAGTACTGCATGGAATATTTAGCCATGACCCTGGGGGAACTCGGTTTGCTGAACTTGGGGGTTGTAGGAATAGTTGAGAACACGCGAGGGTAGATGCGAGAAAAATTTAGGAGTGTATTGATTTGGAATATGTCCCCCAATCGGCTGTATCTCAGGTGTGTTAGGTTATCATACCGCTAGAGCGAGAATCACATGTCCCAGCGGAGCGCTCAAAGGTATTCAATGCGGAAGCACAGACCTGTGATGATCAGAGAAGCGAGAAGCCATATGGTTATACGGTGCTAGTACTTACCGAGAAGAGCTTCTGAGAACAAGCAATCTCCAGCCTGAGATTGATTCCATCAGTAAAACTCGAACCTCTCTATGTGCGCGGGTGCTGAGTTCCAACTTGCCCATGAGTATGAATTTGTTCCAAATGCACCCCGAGTATCTTTAAACCCTATGAACTTCAGATCCTTGTCTTGCGCCAGCCATGCGTACAGAATATTCTGCATTGTATTCTCCCGTCGACGGAGTCGACGATCGTGATGACACTAACCTTCTTAATAGCAATACAGAAACAAGACCTCTTTCAAAATCCGGCCTTCTCAACTTGTCGCCATGGCTAAGCCATGGTGTGCTGATGTCCATAACGATGACGTTCTTCGTACTATGGGCACGGGCACCGTCCATCGATGACACGGTTCCGTACTGTAGGTGGACAGACAGCGTCGACGTGTAGGACCTTGCTTACTCGTCATAGCTCCAGCAAATGAGGCGATCGAATCCATCGGTATTGTACGATTCAACGGAACTCTGGGCACCCCTTCTATATATCGTGGCAGCTCATCTCCAGAAATTGATGCTGCTTGGGATAGGATATCTTTTTAATGGTTGCACCCTACACATCAATTACATTACAGACATTTACTGACTGTATTTCCCAGTGCGTCCGATCCGTATGACGCTTGAGCAACTTCTCAGAACAAGGGAGAAACCCTCTCCCGTCATGGCTAGGTATCCGGACGAATACGGTGGAGGTTACATGGCAACTGTGGAATTCATTCACCAGCTCCACTGCATAGTCAGTTGTAATACAAAGAGGTTGGTCGATCTTTACTCACTCCCCGTAGGACATGCTTCGCAGAGCCAGTTGGAGTGATAAATACTCGGATCATGACGACCACGATACGCCCGAAAACTACCGCATTCATCTCGGTAGGTACACTGTTTCCTGTCCAGACTACATCTGCTCATGTTGTGCCTCAGACCACTGCATCGAAATACTCAGGCAGAACATTATGTGTCGTGGCGACGTAACAATTCTCACTTACGACTGGGTGGAGGGAGTCGAAGATCCTTTTCCTAACTTCAACACTCCTCACCGATGCAGAAACTTCGAATTCGAGAAAGTTGTGAATTGGGTTGATGAGCATTGTGTTTTTGTCCCTAAATCCAAGATGTACGCTTTGAGGATAACGTGGACCTGCCTTCCCCTCCTTGATTGCAGTGTCGATATATTTTCTCCTAATGATGGCTCTCGCGTTACGCGGGGATCACGATATGACACATGACAGCTGTCGTGGGGAGCTCAGTGCGAGGGTATATGGAGACGAGTTAGCAGGAGACTCTAGAGTAGGGCAGGAGCCAGAGTGAGATGGAAATCTAGAGAGCAGCGCAAATATTGTACTTCAATTTACTGCATCAGTCACGTGGGTGTTGCTTTATCGTTCATTTACACACTCGCGTTTCCATCAGTGAATTGATGATTCCTTGATATTGTAGCCGTGAGAACTATAGAAGGATACAATTCTGTTCCTGCTAAATAATATCATATATACTGCGAGAAATTTGACTTGTAGATACATGGCCATTGAGATCCGTAAATGGAGAGTGACGTGAGCAATCCACGACGATGTCGTCAGAATGTGCCATTGCAGTAGATGGGGGGCGATAGTTCGCTTGTGCCAATTATTTCGAGCATTGTCGATTTGCCTTATTTATATGTTGAATTACGACACTATTCAAGACATTATCGTGATAAGTAGCTTTAGCACTGCTCATCCAACTTATATTCCTATTAGAGTCCAACACAAAGTCGTGACATGGCGCCATCGCAACATGTGAGGTATGGTAGCACATTCCTCTCAACGTCGTTTACTGTTTTCTTTTTTCTTCTAAATTAAGATGTTATCTGAGGTCATCCATGACCTTCTCGCGGGAAGTGGCTTTGGCGTTGCCCCACTGGTGTACAATGCTATTTAAGTTCACCACAAAGTCGTGAAACGGCACCATCGCAACACACAAGGTATGGTAGCGCATTCTTCTCAACGTTGCTGACTATTCTCGTTCTCCCTCCTTTTAGTATGCTTTTCTCCTGGTAAATATGGCTATATATACTGCGATAAACTTCACTAAACGTCATCCATATGATCTGATATAAGATTGAATGAAATATATTGTTTTGACTGACGTTCGACCAATAGACATGCAATATGCACGAGTCTGCTGTCGTGAAGTAAGTTGAGCGAGCAGGATCCTTGGAAGGAGCCAGTCCAAAGGTATCCTCCCCGTTGATCTGAGTATTAGAAGGGTTATCACGGTCATCGTAGTGATCGTCATCTGCATTGTCTTTGCTCGGTTTACGCTAGACCGTTGGATTGACAAGGAGTCCAACGTACTACAGACAAAACTATGAGAAACTGTAAGGTTCGCGCAGGCACAAAGACGAACATAACTACCTGGTCCCAGAGCTGGCCGACCCCAGAAGTGACCAGCAGCCGAGTAAAGAAAACTAATAAGAGATCTATTGCTACCAAAAGATGATACAGCTACAATATCTCGAGTGTCCTGACGTCCATCATATTGTGAACAGACACCACGTCTTTGACTTGTGCAATGATATCATCATCAGATGCTATCCTCCTGTATTCTCCACCATGCTGCGCTAGCAGGAGTGCGCTGAATGGCTGTCCAAGGCGAATAATCAATCGCATTGCACGCTCGCTCAATTCTGAATTAATCGGGCCCTCTTCTCCAGGCGACTCAGGCAGAGCGAAGTCATCGTCATCCATGCTCTCTGTATTGTCTGCGTAATCACTGGCAAGCAGCTCAAAAAGGCGACGATCCCATGGGCGGACGAGTAGGAATGACCGTCGAGCGGGTCTTCCTTTTGAGAACTGAAGCAACCTGTCCTCCGTGGTGATCTTCAGGTCATGAAGCCCGTTTGCTTTGACTCTATACGTGAAGTAGGTCTCCTTGGGTTCAATGGATCTCCGCCTGACCTCTGTGACAGGGAATGCGATGCACGGCAGATGCAGCCGACGGTGAGCAAAATGTGGAGCGCTCAGCCGGTCAAGCGAGCTGTATAATCCCAAAGCTAACTCGACAACCGCAGTGTCTTGTAGCGACGAGACCGATCTCTGCATCTCGTCTTCAGATATAGATGGCAGCGTGTATGGTGGGGCTTCGTATGAAGCGATGTCGGCAGGCAGACAGCTGTTGAATTGAGATGATGTTCCGACCCAGTCCAGGACAGTAATGTCCCCAGACTCTGCGATGATCTCCTGTAAGAGCCGCCTGAGTGCCTTTTGCTTCTTCTCGCCATACATGATAGGGAGCTGAACGCCAAAAATGCCAAATAATGAGTACGCGATGTCTTCCTCCACCGTGGTGACACGCGTCGACGCCCATTGCAATTTCTCGCAGGCGTTTATCATTCCTGGACGGAAGGCGACAAGGGTTTGTGCATCTATCCCGGTAGCATCTTCCAACTCCTGCATGATCACAACAGACTGCTTATGGTTGGAAGAGCGGTTGTTGAGATAAGGGGTCCAGTCAGATTGATAGAAACGGATGACTTTCGGGGCGAGAAATTCCGGTAGGGTCCATCCACGCGTATTCCATGCACTCCTTGCCAGTGCGCCTGGCTTCGATGATGGTGGAACATCTGACAGGTAGACCATTGTCAGCGCTGATGTACGATACCAGAGAAACATAGAGTTGAGCGATTTTTGGAGGTCGACGTTGTTAGCCTGGTCGATACAACATGAATCAATCCACCCCCAGAGATACCCTGCAGCACGAGCTGTTTTGCAAAAAGACTGCAACTTCACGATCCCACCAACTGGATTCAACTCATCAACTACCTTATTCTGGATGTCGTTGAGCAGCAGGTTCCTTTCCTTCCCACCGATGCGATAGCGTAACACAACGGAAGTACGTTGCCACGACATCTTTGATCCGCTCCTTTCGGGCATCTACGTGCGCCAATGATGACAAGAGCTCCTTGTATTCCGTGCTCGTTTTAATGTGTTAATCTGTACCTCTCGATTGCATAAGCGCCCAGTAAACGTGTTGAGTAGACGATGCGGGGCGTCATCGAGTTGAGCTTCGATGGTCTTCTGAATAGCTTCTTCTGCTTCAGATAGACTAATATACTGTTGGCGTAGCTCTGGAGAAAGAGTTAAGGATGTTTGAGGATGTGTTTATCTGGCATACTTCGTGTTTGCGTGCCAGGGGTATTTTCCAACTTCGAGAGCAAAGTTTGGAATGCGCCAATCGCTTCATCGTAACGTTGTGCGCCATGGAGTGCTGCATGCACTAACTGGTATCCAATGGGAGACGAAGGGGTCATTTTAATAACCTACGTATTCACACAATGAGTATGGACTATGAAATAATAAATGAGATTAGACCGTTTGTGCATCCATAAGCGCGTCGTCCCATAGCATTTTTCCCGACCTCGCCTTGCTGCGGTTCAGCAAAGACAACACCAGTTGCCAAATCGAGGTCGATCGCCGCAGAGTAAAGCTCGATAGCCCTGTCGTACCTACCCGCAGCGAGGGCATTATTCCCGTCCGCGGCATAGTGTAGGCTGCATTTTTTCTTAAACTGCTAAGTGAGATGAGGTTGAAATTTATCCCCGGTTGACATCACGAAGACTTGCCAGTGGACCAATCAAGGCAGCGTGCTTTCGTAGCCTCATCAGCCGTATCCATCATATATCGGCATGCTTCGACGGCTTCTAGAAGTCTCCCTGACTGAAGAAGCGCATGGCACCAGTTCTGGTGTGCAGTTCGCCACAAGGACTTGAGGTCCCATCCGAATAGCTAGAAAAAGTATAGTCAGCGTAGATAAATGTGTCGAGTTGCACTGCAATCAACATCAACCTACCATCACGAAAACATCATATTTAGAATGGATGTCCGACATAGACGAAAAACTAATAGTGCTGACAGCAGCAGCGAAGTGGTCAGCCGCTTCGTTGTGACGTACGTCGTCTAATGCGTTCATTCCCAGTTGGACGTGTAGATAAGCCTGAAGTGTGAGGTTCGGAAAATCAGTAACGATACATGACTCTGGAGTTGACTGTGTCAGGAGTACTCACTTCTACAATACCACAGGCAAGAGAGTTCGTATTGGGACGAGTTTTAGCTAGCTCTTGGACGCGCCGAACTGCCTCGTCATGTAGATTTGCATTGAAAAGGGCGATGGCCTAACAGCTGTTGCGTAAGTAGCGAGTATATGAAATACAATCGACGTACCTTAATCAACAGCAGAAAACGAGTTTTATTCAAGTCTGCGTCCACGTACATGAACGCAAGGTCAAATGCTTCCATCGCGTCCTGGAACTGTCGTCTTCCACAGTGGGCGATGCCCTTGGAGATATAGCCCATCAAGGATGGCTGAATACTGATGCTCTATGTCACCGTATAAGTGAGTCTGTCAAAAAACCACGACGAAACGCTCACTTTGAGAGCGTCATCAAGTGCGCAGACCCAGTTTGAATTTCGCGCTTTAACGAACGAACGGTTCGCGCAAGAGTTGTAGTCGTTGCTATCAGCACAAATATCTTGAGTAAGCAGCCTAGCGGCAATAATCAAGTCTCCGCTTATGCATGCATCGCGGGCTGTCGTGTTAATGGTGAGGATCTGCATCACACACGGTCGGATTACGGAGTGAAATAGAAGGCTTAAAAGAACCTTGCAAGCCTGCCAGTCACCGAGAATGTCGTCGAGGAAAGATATTACCCGCTTTGAGATCATTGTCATGTTGTCCCTTCCTCGACTCAGTATGTACTTGCCATCTGTGAAAAAGGTTACACAATACACCGGACTATGGTGCTTGAATATGATAATCGTTTGTCGATCCGAAAGCCGCCAAACACGAACCTGATGAAATTCAATTTGAAAAGCTGCACAGATGTCACACTTTGATGGAGACCACGCGCAAGTCACACCACGTGACCACGTGACCACTTGACTTGGCGCTGCATTTTTAGGGCCCAGGTTCTGAGGTACTGTGCTAATTAGTCCTCATGCAGAAAGCATACTCGGTGGCGAAAGTGGGGCATCTGGAGGTTATGGACGAGACAACGCACAAACCTAAGATGGGCGGTCTAATGGATCCTCGCATGGGAACCATCGACCGCAATGTCAAGTGCCAGACATGTGGAGAGGGAATGTCAGAATGTCCTGGTCATTTTGGCCATATCGAGTTGGCGAGTACTCGGTGGCGAAAGTGGAGCATCCGGAGGTTATGGACGAGACAATGCACAAACCTAAGATGGGCGGTCTAATGGATCCTCGCATGGGAACCATCGACAGCAATAGTCAAGTGCCAGACATGTGGAGAAGGAATGTCAGAATGTCCTGGTCATTTTGGCCATATCGAGTTGGCGAGGCCGGTCTTTCACCCAGTTGTGTTGATGAAGTCATCCATAATATAGGGAGCCTCTGAATTTCAGAGGGCCTCATTGAACTGCAGGGTAAGCTTGAAACTTTGCGATGGCGCTCCCTTCATATTTGGATATTTGTGGTGGTTCACCGGCGTCCTTCAAAGAATTTATCAATGAGAACAACGGAGGGGTTACCTGCATGTGTCCAAGTCAGCCATTTCGTGCACCTGCAGTTTAGTAAGAAATCACCTCCAACCAGGCACTTCACTCGCTAGTCGGTCAGCATACACGAGGGCCTTAACACCAGTGAGCGCGGATACATCCGGCGGGCCAGCCGGTTCTCAAATGTCTTAGTACGATGGAGAACTTCTTGCCGTCGTTCGGCATTGAGGAATCGATGAGGGATGACTGACTCTATAATCGACCCATAGGAGAATACAGAGCAGTACAAAGCTGTGACATAGTGAAGGTAAGTGTGTACCACTGCAACGCTCTTCTGCAGTAAAGCTGAGCCAGTTAGAATCATGCTAAACTGAATGCAACATAACCATACCATGAACAATCTCTGGCGACCAAGTTCGGCTGGGACGGTCGATCAAAGTAGAACGGCACAGGTCATAAGGAGGAGAATTGGCAGGGACTTTAACGAAACAGACCAAATGCAACAAGCACCAGGAGGCGAAGAGGAATATATCGCGCTGCTCGTTTGTTTCTATTTTGATTGACGAATTTTGATTGGCTGATCAGCGGCTTTAGGTAATAGTTAAGCACTATGTTTGCCATTTTAAGTATCACAGAACATACTTTTACATCACGAGCAGGGCCTGGCCTGAGGGTTCAATTCAATCAGTAACTTCACGTGTTCGTCCTCGAGCCGTAGTAGTGCAATTTAAAATGGCCGAAATCTTAATAACTCAGCTTTCTACTCCCATCTCCCACCGCACACCACCTCTAGTCACTGCCAGATGTTACCGCGCTGGGATGATCAGCAATGGGACTCATCCGAGTCAGCAGGCGATATCAGTGGGCAGTCAATCACGGTGAGTTCTTGCCTGCGATTAGTTCGTTGATCACTGCCATCGTCCGATTGCCGTGCGCACCATGACTCACATCGATAACATTCACAGTGGTCGGGAAATCAGCAAGTTCCCGAATCGCACTCACTGCTGCAGGCCCACTTACAGTGGCCAGAAAATCAGCAAATTCAAGAATCGTACTCACTGCAGGCCCACTCACAGTGGCCCGGAAATTTGCAACTTCAAGAATCGCACTCGCTACCAGCCCATCCGAGTCACAACTCTGACTCAGGGTTTGTAGCACACGACGACGAGTCGCGTCCCGGGCCATCATCATGGCCGCAACTGCAGCCTGGAGATGCACCACTAGCGTATGATGAGTCGCGTCCTGGGCCATCGTCGTGGCCGCAACTGCAGCCTGGAGATGTACCACTAGCATATGACGAGTCGCGTCCTGGGCCATCGTCGTGGCCGCAACCTGCAGCCTGGACATGCACCACTACCGCACAGTCGGTCATTCCTTCCTCCTCTGCCTGTTCGAATTCCCCGTCCACAGCTCCACCCAAGTCTCTTTCGTCCCGTTCTTGGTCACTACGAGCCCCCCCCACTGATCTTCGACTGAGGTCTGGCCAGAGCAGCCGCCTCATGCTATTCCAACACACCCAACACACCCAACACACCTCACCGATCCTCACTCCGCAGCGACATCGGACCCTGAGATATACGGAAATCTACCGCCCTCGGTTCCGAGTCAACTGCCGGCCCCAGCCAGCATTGACACCAACACGTCCTCCCACCATGACGCCATCATCGACAAAAATCGTCACTCCCGGCTCTTGAATGAGTCACACGAGTCCTGGCCCACTCCCGGACGGTCCCAGGGCCGGCGCCAAAAACTGACTGGCATTGATCGAGCCGAACGTGCGCGGGTGACGTCGAAGGCACAGCCAATACAGATAATTCCATGGGGTAAATCCGCCGTGATATCTGCATGTCAAGAAGAGATGAAATGAGCTCTTCTGAAAGACACGTTGTTGCCTACGAAAGTGACCATCACTTCAGTTAGCGAACTCTTCGTGGAACACTGTCATGCGAAGACAAACCAGAGGTACGTAGTCTAAACGTGTAGTGAAAGGTGATTCTGACTGAACGAATTCAAACTTAGACGACCTTCGGATCTGGGCCACCGAGTCACGTTCCAAAGTTAGCAAGCTCACGCCTGTAGTGGACGAAATTCATGAAGCTTTGAAGCGGGCCGTAAGGATATTCGCTTACTACGAATTTGATCTCAAGTTCGATTACGCTGCTGCCCTGGACGAGTCTCATGTCGCTGAGCGTCAAACGCGAGTTGAAGGTCTAATCGCGAATGATGCGTTTCTACACGCTACACAACATGTAAGTCATGCTTTACGTCAATTTAACCTGAATATATAGTGTCCTTCCATGTAGGTCGAAGGTGTAGCCACTTCGGTCCCATTTTCCCATCCAGCGGTCATAGCGTTCGCTGCGTACCTACTGTATGACAGTGAATTTCGGTACCACCAGTATATCGGCGAAGATTGGAACCTGCTACCTCTGCTAACGATGATAACTACCCTCTACCGCTGGGCCCTTTCCGAACGCCGGACTGGGACATATATTAGAAGTGAGTTCTCGCCGGACGGCAACAGATGCCACCACGATAGATTTGTTTCGCTGTTCAAGGCTTTGACCCCGGCAAAATTAGCGGTACTGAAAACCTTGCTTGCTAATCGGATCGTTACTTGTGCAACCAACTAATTTGTACTATTACGGATTGATTATGGAGGCTTGGGATTTAGGAACCGTCAATGTACTACATACAGCTTTGATGCAACGTACAGACTATTATCCGTTAAGGTCGTCGCCCTACAGTGTTCCCCCATCCTCATAGATATCCGTTCAAGATCCCCCTCAAGATTCCATATCACTTCGCACAGAAAATGCATTTCTCCCTCGCCGTTGTTGCTAGCTTCGACAGTATCTATGTTTGTCGGTGCATGTTTGACCGAGAATCAGCCTTGCGATCTAATCCTGACAGTCTGAATGATATTCGTAAGCATAGACCAGCGGCCAGGAACAATGAACAGACGTACTTTGGCATACAACGAGTCTATGACCTTGCTAACTTGTTCCAGGGTCCCAATTGCTGCACCATACGTGTTCTGAAAAAAGGATGAGCATGAATGAGATGAGTGAGAAGAGAGGACACACGTCAGCTTCTAGCTCATCGAATATGATCAGGCATCCTCGTCCCTGATCCAGCACGCCGTGGAACACCTTGTCCAAGATCGTCTAAGATAGCCTAAAACACGATATTAGCTACTTTTCACAGAGACAATTCAATACGCACTTGGCCTCAACGTCCTGCCGTCCTTGCCCGACCTTTTTGGCAACGTAGCCAATCTCTACCACCGAGTACGGCTCAACGATACGCAGCAAATTCTGCTGGAGAAGGGTGTCGTAAAGCGCTGCGAGATGTGAGCGAATAGTAGGGTCGGACGAGAGTTCTCTGTAGCAATGACAAGTCAACAACAAGTTGTGTAAATGGAGTATAATATACTTTGTTTGTAATCCGGAAGGGCCTTCTCGAAATCTGACAAGTTCTGATTCTGATGCGCAAGCGCTATGGCACGCATGCTCTCGATCTCGCGAAGCTGAGCATATTTCACCGCGAGATTGATAGAGAGAAGTGATGTTACATCTTCGGGCTGGAACACACATCAAAATGACTGACGAGTCGAGATCAGTGACAACACACCATATTCAACATGACCTTGCACAAAAGCATGTACTTGAGTGCGTTCAGCGCTGCTGGGTCATCCTGCGATGACATGTTCTCGAAAGTCTCATAGAAATATGAGTATGCAGTAGCGTAATCTTTGTCCTCGGCATGGAGAACACCAGATTGGAGGTCTAACACTGCTTGAAGATGAGGAGGACAATATAGAGTTTGCAGCAGTCCTGGCGGAAGTAAGGACAGCCTTTGCATTTCACGGACGTAAGGGCACATAATGAGAATATCGGGATGGCACTCGAAGGACTAACCTTGGACTTCGACAGGTTTCCAATGCCACGGTAGACGCGACTCTCGAGCAGGTGTACTTCAGCAAAAATCATCTTGTCATCTAACTTTTTCAACTCTGTCAAGAGTGCGTCGATTCGCGTTGAGGCTAACTTGTAAAAGAATATGATTGGGATTCGGAACAAAGACGCGATAGCTTGAGAGCAGCCGCTCAGAGGTACCCACGTCCATGCAATGAAACAATCCTCGAGCCAAGCATGATTGACTATTGGTAGTTCTCCTTCGCGCCTAAAACACAGCGTGCAGTTGCGTGGTCAATACATAAGGGACATGATGGGTGCTGCTCACGCATTCGTTGAGACCAGGAATACCTCCTCTTGGAACTGGGTACCACAGCAAACAATCATGCGGGTCATTCAGTGTGCCGGTCGCATCGACGTGAAACATCCAAGTCAAGTTTCTGATCAAAATCAGACGAGATGGACTGGGCCACCTATAGCATAGCTATCGTATGTTTTCCCGCTGACGACTTCAAGTTAAACAGAGGACGTACTGTGAAGCGTGCCTTCCCAGAGCGGTGCCGCGTGACGAAAACATCGCATTCATCGACAAGTGTGGCTTGTGCCTCCTCGTCTGTGCTGGCGTCCTAGGCGTGCGAGATAAGATGAGAGAGTTGTCACCGAGGCTTGGTTATCAAGAAAATGCCCTTGAGCGCTCGATGTCCAACCAATACAGATGCAAGTGATCTTGAAACTGATTGAGACGTCCGAACCTGAGGCGCTGGCTGTGTTCGTACTGCAGGAAGATGGTATTGCGGGTGTCGGAGGTGTCGGAGCCGGGTGGGTGTATTGGTGATAGGTTCAAACTCGAGAGCGTTAGGGAACACAAGCTCGACATCATTTGCGAAGTCTAGAGAGGTTTGATATTCCTTGCGCTTCAAGTGTTTCTAGCGATGTCGTGAACACATACTCCAGAGTCAAAGTATGTGCGACTTACAAAAACGGTCTCTATGCACATTGGGCGTTTGATTTGTGTGTAATACATCGGATAGTCCTTCTTTGACGGCATCTCCATGAAAACGTTAGAGAACACACGATGTCTGTCACTTGAATTAGAAGTAAGTTGTAGACGAAGAAAGGTGAACTCACGTCTCTTCGTCAGCTTTATCGACAACCTTCTGCAATCTAGCTCTCAAGAGTCGAGTCAAGTTAGGTTGTTTGTTCTTCTTCTCGCCGTCTCCACCGTCAGCAGGCTTGTCCTCATCGTCTCCGTCGCTATTCTTCTTGACTTTCTTTCTTGTCATTTTCGTATACTCCTTATTTACAAATTTCTGCCCAAGGTTGAACATAGTGTGAACATAGGACTAGGGCAGCGTCCAACGAAAACAAGTTCAGATATAAAAATGCGACAGTCACTTAGATATCGCAGTGACTAGTCATGGCCACCACCGTGTTGGATAATCTTCATAATGGAAATTCGACGATAATCAGTATACAACATCAAGACCATCAGTCTCCTGATTCCAAACATTGCAAAAGGTGCAAGCCGTCGATGGGCGTGTTGAGCAGCTGGGGAAGGCTCAGAAGGGAGCGCCGTGATTGAGACTCTTGGTACCTGCTGGTGGTTGACCTGATTGTGTCGCACTGTTAGCCTGGTTGCTGTTCGTACGTTGCATAGCTGCAGCCGCTTCCACACTAGTTTGAGGGACAATGACAAAGGCATGTCTCTGCAGTGTATTTTAATGGAACAGAATTGGAGGGACAATGAGTCACTCACAACTTCATCTTGAGCAAGGGGTACATTGACGGTGCGTGTGGAACGTCATCCGGAAAACAACTTGAAGTTGAAATTCCAGTGTCGGGACTGGCGTTCAATTGGTTGGGATGGATTCACGGGTCGTGTGCCGAAATGTATGGAACTAAGCAAACGACGCCAACGAACAAGGGACGATTGGCTTGTGGGAAGAGCTGCATAACGGGACGCGTGATCTGATTCGTTGCCAAAGAAATCATTGCCTTGTATCTTGGTGTCAGGCGAGAAAGGTCAAGCACAAGAAAGTACACTGACATATCTTGCCAGTCCTATTTTTGGGGCCTACTGATTAGACGCAAGACGGGGTCAAAAGTCTGACGAGACATATGAGAGAAGGTGGGGTTGCTCACGATTGGTGAGCGCACAACTCTCGGTTGGGTTGGGCTTCCTTAGTGAAAAGTGAGATGTAGTGTGAAAGAGAAGCAGAGAAGAGTTGCCTTGAGCTTTGCATCTGCAGCCTGGATGGCCAAAACCGTCAGGAAGGGAAATTGGACAACAAAGCGCATACCTACCAGAAAGTTTTTGAGCGCCTGCCTCCAGGTTCCATACATAATTTTTTTTGTCTAGTCCAGCACTGGCAATGGATTTTCCATCGCGGGATATGGCAACAGCCAAGAGTTGATCATCATGCAAGAGTGGATCTCCGACTGCCTGATTGGTCTTGACATCCCAGATGCGAATGGCGGACGTTCTGGCTTTGGTTTCTTCCATGATGTGGTCCGAGTGTTGTGGTCGACTGAAGTAGGACCGACCGAGTGGTGAGATGTGCCATTCTCATCCAGGAACAGCAAGAGTTCCGGGATCATCTACGTTCAATGGTGAGTTCGTCGCTCCATGTAGCAATTTCATCCCTCACCTAGTCGCACTCCTGGTAAAGGCCGGTTCCACGAGATAATCACAAGCGTGTCATCTTGATATCCTATTTCACCATCCGCCGTCATATACTGACGCCACACAGGAGGAAGCGCTGCATTCCCGCCTGATTCTGATTGAGTAGGCTGGTAGGAATGCTCACCTTCCCAAAGTGCGTCCCGGCGGTGCTGTGCACCATATGGTGGTAAATATTTCGCGCTCGTCCGATATATCGATGAGTGCAATGGCGCTTCACCCCGTCTCATTGACGTGCTCGACTTGGCCTCTTTGTGTGGCATGACCTTGATCGATATAAGACTCGGATACTGAGCTGCACAAACAGACTGGAGAGAGAAACACTGCGCAAAGTCGGTAATCGAGGAGAGGGAGAGATACGGGTTGAAGGTGATTAAGAGACCTGCTATTTGGGTCAGTTTTGCATGCTGTGGTTGCAGGCGCTTCGCTGACACCGCATGTCAATGGCTGTGTCACCATCGGATTAAGTGCTTACCTTGGTCCAGTTCAAATTTCGAGGCAATTTGATGTCAGCGATTGGAATGATATGATATTTGTTTGAGCGGGTGCATATGTACGCTGCATAGTACGTAGCAGGACTCCCAAGCAAATCACCACCAGTAGTGACAAGTGATTGCCTGACCGACGGGAACATATATATAGAAGTTCCTTGTTGGCTGCCCAATATTGTTGTACTAATCAACAACCCCTGGGCGTTGATAGTGCCCAAACCAGAGTTTTTTCGTCTCAGTAAGCAGAGTTTTGAACGTTTGACATCAAAGCCGAAGTGATGTTCAGAACTTCAGATGAACGACAATCAACTTCACTGGCTTTCCCACGAATTGCAGTCAACCGTGACTTTGATTTATTGACCAGGAGAACCCTGATTAGTATGCTACTAGTACGCAGCATCAACCTGAACAGCTCTCACCTGTCTGCGTAACCTGCTGCACGACTTCACTCACAGCCGAACTGTTACCGCGCATTTATGCACTAGTGAAAACCTCCAACACACTCGCTTGGCTCGCCTTCCACGCAACAAGACATTTTTCCAGCGCCTCCCATTGCTCTCGCTCAAACGTGCACGCTGACGAACGGTAAGCGTGTAAAGACTGAGTGGTCTGCGAGAGCTTTCCCGAAAGAAGATCGACTATTTCGGAAGATTATTTGAGATAATTATAAACGACAGGATGTCAAAAAGACTGTACCATCGATCGCCCACTTCTCTGCTTGACTCAATTCAATCTGCGGGATTGACGCGACCACTGAATATGGCAGGTCATGCCATGCGTGTGCAAAACCCAGTGACGCAAATGTCAGAAGACGGATATTCTGCTCAAGCTGTGCTCGGTCGAGTTCTGCAGCTGTAGAAATTAGGACACTCGCAGGCTAACCCAGTTGGCTGGTAGCCTGGCACTCCGCCCCCATTCCACGAGGAAACTGGTAGTATCGACCCAGCGACGATGGTTAAGCCTCTTTTGAAGTTGGAGCTCAGTAAAATGAACAGGAGGCGAGGACTTGCAGATGGCCTTCAGTTAGTTGTTCCTTTCGCAAGAGTGGCCTCAAAGTGGGAATGAGGCTAGTGACATTGATTCTGCCACAAGACCTAGAAAGTATGACAGACGCAGTGTGCCACTGTCCAGCTGGACAGTTCATTTCGTGTGTACGATCACCGGCATGAACTTTTTGGTGTCGAGCCAGATTTGACTGTTCTTCTGATTGTACTTTTTGGCGTTTGAAAAACAGAAGTCGCAATCTTGTCTGATATCATCGAGAGAGTTGTATAAGCCGTCATCTATTTTCTGCTTGATATCGGCCAAGCAAATTGGTTGTTGAATGTAGACATAATAATCAGGATAATGGCGCTTTGAGGTCAAGCGCATGAACGCTGGAGACCATATGTAACATCTGTGTGATGGACGGAAGAAACGTTAGCGAGATCAGAAAGGAAAATGGCTTGAGGCAGCTGTAATTGCGTCTAAGCTCAAGTTGGGTTGTTACTCACTCTTTATTGACCACGTCTTTGAACATCTGCCACAACTTTGTTCCCTGCTCTTTCAAACCAGCTACACCAGAACTGCTACCTTCTCCAGTATCCATCTGAATGTCTCCATTTGTCGCGGTTCCTGTGGCGGCTTGGCCAGATGATGCTCCAACTTGCTTTTGTCGCTTTCTTCGAGAGCCGTCCGCGTCATCATAATTCGACAATTGTCCAATATCTCTCTTCATCATCGTCATACAGTTGTGGTCGTCGGTTCTGGCCCAAAAAACCTGGATACCGAAGGAAATAACGGCGAACTTCAGCTTGTATAGTCTCGGACGCTCAACGAGGATGAAAATGAACCTTGGAGTCACATGATTGACTGCCGGCGTTGGCTTACTAACCGGGACCCTGCCAAACATCATGATTATGCACGATCCAGATGGATAAAGATGTTCAGTCATTACACTAATATCCAACGGCCGAGTGGACTGTTGTCCATGAAGAGGCTGGGAGTCCGTGTAAGCTGTGCGTATAACATTCACAAGAGGAGTCCCCCCCTGCAGATCTAAATCATAGTTGAAACAGTTACACTCTCTGATGGTGAGTTTTCGTCACCATAGGTCCACGTAGTATTTTATCAACACAAATCATTTAGGCCACACCATGTCCGCTATTGGGCTTCAAGGTGTCTCCTTGAACGATGAATGCACGGAAGCGTTGCCCTTCAAAATGGTTACCGGTGGGTATTCACACATCAGTCAAAGTTGCAAAACTCAGTTGGATCATTAGGATAATCGATGGGGCTCGGCACTACGAGAATGCAGTTCAAGTTGGTGTTGGTGTAGGGCAAAGTGGCGTTAAGCACGAAGACGTCTTTATCAGTGAGGAAAAGCTCCATCGTTGTCCAGGTCGTGACTCGTGCGCAGGTGCTCTCGACAATCAAGTCATCCAGGAGCTCTACAAAGGTAACCATATACTGTATCTGCTTGCGTCATGATGTTTGATGTGTCGTAGTACTCCAAAGATCCTGTTCAAATTCTTGTTAGGTGGTCTTTTGCAACGAGGGTGAGTGGCACAATCGGCATGTGTCAATATTCTTAATTGGTACCACCTATATTTGCGCCTTTACCCAAATCCTCACAGCCAGAACGTGTCATATCCAACGGCCGTATTTGGTTGGGAAATCGAACCTACGGACATGGCAAAGCTTGATGCGTTGGACCGCGGGAAGGAGGGCGCAATTACCTGGAATCCAGTCGAGGTCGATCAAGGAGTCAGGTTAGCCACCTCAGGGCTTCCCCCTTGATTTAGGTAGCGATGTACTAGTACGAACGAAGAACCCGATTGCTTTGTCCGCGAACATGTAATATAGTAACGCTCAAGCACAACAGAAAAGTACAACAACCACTACACTAACAACGATAGAAGTCAACAGGAGGTCAACAAGAGGGAAGATCTATGTCTAACGGACTGAAAATACATTGCAACTCCCTCGTAGTAATTAAATATTATTGCCAAAAGTCATGAGTCTCCGGCGAATGTCTGATAGGCGTTGTTTTCTTGTCGAGAGCGATGCTCGTTTCTGAGCAACGGAAGGGTCTTCGCTGACCAACTCATTCATATGCTCAGAGAAATTGGACCCAGATGCAACATTTGTCAGCAAGCTTGTAAGAAGGCTCTGCGACAGTTGTTCCGCCAGGGCATGGTGGAGAGTATGCTCGATTGTCAGAGGAATCCGGGGTAGCTGTAGTGGTCCACGGCTTCTGGAATTCAAACATTTATCGAAAGAGAGAGGAATCACTGGATTTTCAAGATACTACCGAACGTACCGCTAGCCCAGGAGTGACTCGAAGGTACAATGGTAGTCGCACGAATCACTGAAGTCGGACATAGCTCAAAACGAGAGGTCATCATCACACTCGTCCTCGACTTCCTCTCCGAGGTCATCAAACCCATCTTCAGACTCTTGTTCATCATCCTCCCCCTCGTCCTCTGACTGCTCATCAACAAGGTCAGCATCCATCGATTCTTCTTCTTCCTCTTCTTCGTGGCCCTCACGATCGCTTCCATCTTCATCAACATCCATAGCCTCCACCTCCACCGGCGCTGCTGAGGGTAGGTGAAGACAGTCTCTAACAATCTTCCGCAGAGCTACTGGGTGTCCTACGCCCATATCGGTGTAGCGCAAAAACATATCACGGTCGACAAAACTAGCACTAACAGATGAGAGTCATTCAGCTACAAGAAGACACATTACACTCACATGCCAACACAGTACACTTCCCAGTCGTCTAATTCCCCGTTAGGGCGAGCTAAAGATTTTCCGTGGCGAAGGGAGCTGATACCCCGCCCTGAAGCGAATGCAGGAATTAAATGGGCTCCTCGAATTATTTGACTTGGATCAAGGAATCCGAATGCGTCATAGTCTGACTCGTCCACAAACGCCACTTTGGGAAGGCGAGCGCGCTGTATCCCAGACCGATGGGACATTAATGGGGCAAGCCATCTGACGTGGAGGACCTCAAGATGATGTTTCTCGATTCGACCACCCCCTTGGAGCCATGTATCTACATGATAGATACCCAGTACGCGAGTGTACCAGTATGGGTGCCTAGGTGAGGTTTCTCCAGAAAGTACCATGACATCTGAGTGTGATCTAGGATTGATCGTGTCGTATTCGCGTCACATGTCATAGGTCGTATAATGTACCTGCATCGTCTGGACCGAGTAGACCGTATTATTAGGAATTATAACCGAGTTACGTTCCTCATCCGTGAATGTGCGATCGCAATGAGTGACGTCTAACTTATTTAACCTGTACAAGATGTGATCCTTCAGTTTTGGGATAAAGTTCTGGAAGCCGTCATAAGCATTCAACTTCAAAGGTAAAAGTGCGAATGGTTACCTTGATAGCTGGGTCACCATCATTGTCCCAGAGGAATGGGAACAACGAGACTGGATCATTTTGATTAGTTGCAATAGAATGATGATCCTTGGACAAAGATGGAGCAGGAGAATCGATCGGAGATTTATTACTTGGGAGGGAGGTACCTGCTGCTTCTGCGACTCGCCGTAATACACGACGCCTGCGCTCGTGCTTCGCTAGCTGGGCTGGAGTGTCCAGCTTGCTCGTCAGCGGATAAAATGCCTTCAAGGCTCTGTGCGCCAGCTCTCCCTAGCCGGTGAGATAACTTCAGATACTTGAGGGCTAGGAAAGAGATGATGCTTACGATCTGAGTGGTGAACGAATCCGTAGTCCCGAAGAGCTTGATAGTTCGCACGTAATCACCCATTGCATGAAACTTATAAGTGCTTAAGTTGAATTTTTTTACTCTTGGCACACTAGAATCTGAGGGAGCATTATTGGATTCGGCGATCCTCCGTTGGCGGGCTGCCTTCTCTTTCGGTAGTTCCACGGTGATAAAGGCAGCGCAGGTAGAGTCACGGAACCTCTGCAATTGTTTAGAGAGAATCTTGAATGTTTCCTCTAGGAAACTTAGGGTCGAGTCTGAATGAATTCGTAGTTTGGTGAGTGCATGCCACTGAGCAAATCTGTATAAAAGAGACTGCACAATCATGTCGTGGCTAGCGGGAAACAACCCTTCGAACACAGGTATGGCACACTGAAGAGAGGTCGTCAGCAAGCCAAGTAAAGAATAGTTTGGTGAAGCAGGAACAACCTGCAAGATATCTTCGAAGTCCCGAGCAGCCATTCTCTTCATCTCGGACGTGTTGTTCATAAATGATCGGATTACTCCATTGCCGAAAGTCGGAACCTGACGAAATCTACGGGCGATAACATTTGCTGTTATCAGATGGTAGAAAAACTATACAAACTCCACCTACCTGGAGTCCAAGGTTGCGACTAACTGATCCCCAAGTGGTAGCGCATAGAGGATCCTGACGAGGTGAGTGAATAGTGCTTTCCAGGTACCTAACTCGCACTCGTGCATGAAGTCCACGACCAGCATGCGAAACGGGTCAAGGCCCAGCGGTCCCAGCTTCTCAACAAACGTATTCTGCGAGTTACTTGTCTGAGCCGGGATGACAGAGCGGTAGGTACCTAATACTCACCAGAACGGGTACCCACGAACCATCTCCAAGAGTCTGTACAACCTTCGTACCGTCTACAGTATTTCCTAAATTATAGATGTATTCTCGTGCCTTGACGATGTTGGTCTCAGCGTAGACCCGGAGATTTTCCACACGACTTCTCATGTCCTTGAGGAGACCTAGAAAAGAAAACATATTTTTCGGTGTGAGGCAACGGGGGCAGGGACACGAGCCCATGTCCTTAATGGTAGCAATTAAAACCCTGAGACTTGTTCAGCAATACATCTAGCTGGTTCGGAACGACAGAACATACTTTTCGGGGTAATCAGCTGAGTATGTGAATAAACGAGGAAATATTCTGCGAAGCACTCCATCGGCACATTTTAGTACAATGCCATGCCGGTATGCATGAAGAAAGTCTTCATCCAGTAAGGTATTCCAGCATCCGTGAAACAACTCGCATCGACAGTGGGTCTGAAGAGCAGCCATGCCACTTTTCGATATCCGAGGTAAGCTACTCAGAACGTCTTTGATCCTATCAGGTAACTGACGCCCGGATATGAACCTGACGTTTCACGATACAGTAGAAAACTCACCGATGGTAAAAACCCCACGAGGTGACATGCGCCGGATTGTGGTGCAGAACACGCGTACTTCGTCAAATTTGCAAAATACATATAAAGGGGCCAGGCCTTCGCAGTTCCGAAATTTGCCAGGTGCGTAGCATCCGAGAAAAACATGAGGCCAGCAATTACCCGTTCCAGTGAACATCCGGGCTCCTTTGGAAGCTTTTTCAGCTCATCTTGGGCATCCAGCCAAGAGTCAGAAGTATATAATTCGTCGAAAATTCGCTCTTGCTGGTTGCTAAGCGGATCCTTCCATAAACGCTTGAACGGTAAAAGATGAAACGCGTTCGCTTGAATGTCCATGAAGGCTGACCGAATTACTTCGACAAGAGGGCGAAAATGTAATCCAGGAACGGGAAAAGGTATCGCATCATCTTCCTTCGATTTCGTAGGAATTTTGATGGTGACGTTTGCCTGGATCCAGTCATCCGGAAATTCGATATTCCCCCCCCCTGGGGTCGTTGTCCAATTCTCTTAAACTCTTCCTCACCGAGAAGTCCTCTAAGTGTGTTATGTTAAAATCGTCCGCCAGCATTACCTCCTTGACGAGCCGTGTGACTTCAGTCTCAGATTTCTGATGGCTCCCGGAATTCATCCAAGACATGAGTCTATAAATTGACATGTTAGAAAAAGGGTAGGGAGGGGTGGGAGGATGCCAGGTGCATCAGGCTCTTCCGTGACTCTTGGACATGTTGCGGAAAGTAGTGAGGACGGGACAAATTGATCTGGCTCGAAAGATGGGCGACGGGGGTACAGTCGGCAAAGTCCAAGAGAATTGAAGCTCATCTGCAGCGTGTCTCGCAATGTCAA